TCAACTTTACACTTGATTCCAGTCCAAGAAAACCTAAAATAAAAAATTTAAATATTCAGTCATAAACATACAATGTTTATGATATATAAGCATATGATATGAATATGTTCACCTTTTCTAATTTACCCTAGGGACTTTTACTCAGGGCAGACGATTCATGACTCATCACTAAGTCACTCATCACTTTACAAAATTCAACAGCACTTAAATACTGGACTCTGAGAATTCAAACATTCAGAAAACTAAATTGGCAAAAATAATAAAGTCATATGGCTCAATCGCATCAGATTGAACCACATGCAATAACTAATGTTTGGCAATTTTTGACCTACAGAAGCAATGATTGTGTATGGTTCAACTATATTCCTTTTGAAGACTCACAGGCTGTGTCACAGGAGGAACAAGAGTGCAGGTTTGGGATCAGGCAGGTATGGATGTAAGATTCTAACTTTGCAACTTTCCAACAGTGTGGCCTGGAGCAAGTTATCAGACTTCACGACTTTTCTCGTGTGTAAAGTGAGGAGGATAATATGACCCACCTTGTAGAGTCTGGGGTGGTCTTTAGTGCTGTTGAGCAGTGATGTCCAGCCCACACACATGGTAGGACCTATAGGTCCTGGCCCCTGTAGGTGACTGGGCCTCCCCTGTGAGTTGGGAGCAGCTGGGGAGGAGTGTCAATTCCAGAGCAGATAATTCTGTTTTAAAGTGAGTTTCTCATAGAAGCCATAGACTGTGGTCTTGCTGCTGCTCCTAGTTTTTAATTCCAATCTGACAATCCCTGTCGTTCAATTAGGGTGTTCGGATCATTTTGTTGAAAGCTATTGATACAGTGGATTTAAATCCCCCATCTTGCTGTTTCCTCTTTTGCTGCTTGCTTTTGCATTAATTGAGCATTCCTCATGTATCACCTCTGTTGGCTCATTAGTTATAACTTTGCTCTGTGAGAGCTATTGCTTTAGAGTTTCTAGCACCCAACGTTAACTTATTGTAATCCACCTTCAAATGAGTCTACCACTTCACATAGAACATAAGAATCTTACACAGAATACTTCCACTGCCTCCTCCTGGCCTCAATGCTAGTATTATTATACATTTTATTTTATGATTTTATTTATTTGAGATGAAGTCTCACTCTTTTCACCCAGGCTGGAGTGCAGTGGGGTGATCTCGGGTCACTGCAACCTCCATCTCCCAGGTTCAAGTGATTCTCCTCTCTCAGCCTCCCGAGTAGCTGAGATTACTGGTGTGCACCACCATACCCGGCTAATTTTTGTATTTTTAATAGAGATGGGGTTTCCCCATGTTGGTTAGGCTGGTGTGGAACTCCTGACCTCAAGTGATCTGCCCACCTTGGCCTCCCAAAGTGCTGGGATTACAGGCATGAGCCACCACGCCTGGCCATGTCTGGGCTTTTTAGCTGGTTCAAGCAGAAGAGTTAAGTCTAGTTCCTACCCATGCAGGTCAGAAGCAGAAATGTTCAGATCAGAGAACTGAATTGCCTGTGTGAACCCCTCCATACAGTATGAATGGCAGATGCAAGACCCTGGTGAGGGGTGGGTGGGGGTGAGAAAGAAGACTGGCTGGCAGGAAGCAGGGCCAGGCCCTACAGACCTGGAGGCTGCAGAAAGGATCTGTGGGTATTCAGAGAGCTCTCAGGATCCAAGGGAGGACGCTAGGCTTGGTGTGTGGGCCACACTGTAGAATGTACACCTTCAAGTTCCTGAGGCCACAGCATGGAGAATAGACTTCCTGGGACAAGAGTGGAAGCTGACAGGCACTTAGGAGGTGTCAGCTGGAAACCTGGAGTTGGGGAATAGTGGAGGACATGGTGAAACATGGACATTTTCTTTTTCCTTTGAGAGGGTCTCACTATGTTGTTCAAGGCTGGTTTTGAACTCCTGACCTCAAGCGATTCTCCTGCTTTGGCATCCAAAATGTTAGAATTACAGGTGTGAGGCACACACCTGGTCTTAAAACCTGGACATTTTTGCAAACACTTGGATGTCAGGGTGGGAAGCAGGGCAAGTCCAGGATGAAGCTGGGCTCTGAGCTTGTGTGTTTAGTGATGACAGGGCTGTTGGCTGAGCATAGGGTCAGTGGGGAAGGGCCAGGTTTGAGGCCAGGCTGGGGAAAGGGCGTGTGAACTCTGAGCTGGATGTGTTGAGTTTGAATCCTGTGAGACTCGCAGGTAGAGAAGAATCATACGCTTTAATTCACGGAAAAAATGGCAAAACACAAAGGACACATAGGACTCTCCTGCGACCAGCATGCCTCTTCCAGGCGGTTTTAGATAAGCAGCAAGGGCAGTCTCTGGGTTTCTAGAGGCTGTTTCCTACAACATGGAGGCAGGCGCCTCTTTCCTTCATTACCTTGCTTATAAGATTTTGTGACTAAAACTCGAGAGAAGGAAACAGCTGGTGGTCAGGTCAAGCCCCAAATTGTGATGCAAGTGCGGTGACGTGAAGGAAGTAATGTATGCAGTGATCTATTTCCAAGACAAATTGCCTTGAATCGGCTTAGGTCAGCAAACTACAGAAGAAACAGGATACACTAGGCCCCTGCTTGGATTGTCAATGCCTGCCTGTCAGCTTCCCCCTTCCCCCTTTCTCCACTCCCCCTTCATTGCCCTCACCAAATCAAATTTAGTCTAAGATGAAAGTTTTCTTGCCTGTAAAATAACTCATTTTGTCTATTCTTATCAGCCTGCCCAGCTACTTAGCTCATAAGTCAAATGCTTGAAGAGCCCCTGAGCTTACTAGGATTGCAGTGCATTGTGGGCTGCAACAAAATGCAGCAGGACAACCCTAAAAAGACACCTAAAACCCCTGCCCAACAACCAATAGGTGATGTCTGGGAAGATTGTGAGCCCATAGAGCTCAACCTGTGAGGAACTTGGGGAGGGACCTGCACACTAGGGGATAAATTGCTTGTTGAAATTGCACTGGGTGTGCCTACCCATCAGACAACCAATTTTGCAAGACCGTCATTAGAAGTCTCACTTCTGCTATTCTCCGGGTCCCTGAGTCCGTTCTTTGGGTTTGGACGGGTGAGTTTGTTTCTCACAGATGTACCAGTGTTCAGGAGGAACTGAACGTCTCGCTCGGGGGACAGGCTATGTTGGCAGGAGTGAAGTCTTGGGTCTGGTCCTCCCTCTACCCAGAGGTGTGCTTGGGCAGTGGTGTGTCTCTAGACAGGTGGTTCTACATTCCAACGAAGGGTGCCTTCCCCACGGTCTCCCTCTTGATAAAACATAGAAGGCAAGCCTGTCAGTGGGGAAAAAACAGGCTACTTGGCTCCAAGGCAGTCTGGGTGTGGCTGCTATGCTTCCAGGACACAGAATGCCAGCTGCCTGCACTTGGGAACCCTGGGCTCAGGGGAGTCACATTCCCTGGCTAAGGGAAGGGAAGCTGTCAGCTCTACTGGAAGCAAGGCCCGGATGGGAGGGGAGGCCCCAGCCAGCTTTGTCCGGGCAACCCAGGGCGACTTCCAGATGATTTTGATGATTGCACCGCCATATAAGCAAGGTTACTCATCCTTGTCATGCCAGAACGAGGACCCCTGTGAGGATACACTCAACACCAGTTGTACAACCTGATGGGGAAGAAGCCAGTGGCCGGCCTGCTCTCTTCCTCTCTCTATGGGAGCTTGTGTCTAACACTTGTGAAAAGGCCATATTCAGACTGTGTCCTTGTTAGTTTTCACCATATTGCATGACTCTTAGCGGAGCAAATCACTAGGCAGCAATTTGCACTCCAGAAAGAAACATGGGGGCACTGATGAATTGAACGTGCATGCTAACATCACCACCGTTTCTCCCTGCAGAGTGTTTTGAAAGGCTCAGTCTGCCTTTGTGTGCAATGAGAACCACACAGGTCTGGCACACAAGGACATGCTCACAATTGGCCAAACGTGAAATGAATGAATCCTACTTTCTGGCAGGAGAATTCATTGCTGCCAGATGCTATCTAAAATACAACAAAAGTATCCAAGGCGTGGTTCTCATAGATCAAATCTTCAGAAGACTGGATATGTAAGGTGCTTCCTAACTTTAAAATGACCTAGCAGGCCGAGCACAGTGGCTCACACCTATAATCCCAGCACTTTGGGAGGCTGAGGTGGGTGGATCATTTGAGGCCAGGAGTTTAAAACCAGCCTGGCCAACGTGGTGTAACCCTATCTCTGCTAAAATGCAAACATTAGCTAGGCGTGGTGGTAGGTAGGCACCTGTAATCTCAGCTACTTGGGAGACTGAGGCAGGAGAATCACAGGAACCTGGGAGGCGGAGGCTGCAGTGAGCTGAGATCTCACACTGCATTCCAGCCTGGGTGACGGAGCGAGACACTGTCTCAAAGCCTGTAATCCCAGCACTTTGGGAGGCCGAGGTGGGCGGATCACAAGGTCAGGAGATCGAGACCATGGTGAAACCCCGTCTCTACTAAAAATACAAAAAATGAGTCGGGCGCGGTGGCGGGCGCCTGTAGTCCCAGCTACTCGGGAGGCTGGGGCAGGAGAATGGCGTGAACCCAGGAAGCGGAGCTTGCAGTGAGCCAGGATCGCGCCACTGCACTCCAGCCTGGGCGACAGAGCGAGACTCCGTCTCAAAAAAAAAAAAAATTAGAATACATCATTTAATATTTGATCAAAAGATCAATAAGATAAGCGGTCATTCCAGACCATCTGCCCAAAGAAACGCCTGCTGAAGTATTCGCCTCTCTCTAGCTATTGATCTTTTTGGTGCCTGTTCTCTCTTGATCTAAGCTTTACAAAAAAATGCTACATGTACTCTTTGTTGCCTTTTTTTTTTTTTTTTTTTGGGCAATCCCTGTGAAAGCTTCTGATACCTTAATATCTACGGGAACATTTCAAATTCTCCAAACATTTTATGAGTTCTGGACCTGAGAGGAATCAAGATGTGGCTGACAGCAGAAATTGCGAGCATTCTCAAAGCATACCAACTACGCCACCTTTCCTAACAGGCAGTGGGAGCAGAAGGCCAGCCATTGAAAACACGGGTCACAGCACCTTTTATTCATCATCATACAAATGGATGTGACACGAAATACACCCAACATCTCCAAACAGTCTTAATGCCTTTCAAAATCCAACAGGAAGGCCCGAGATGCCACTTCTAGCAGGGAAGCCATGAGCCTTCCGCCTTTGGATGCTGCAAATGGGAATGATAGAGGTACAGGAGGTCTGCCTTCCATGCCGGTCCCTCCAGCGCAGTCCCATGCCGGACACAGCGAGGCGGCACTTGGCACAGAACGTTTTCCTGAGAACACGTCACACGCTAGAGCATTGCAGAGGCCCGGGCCCCTTCTCAACCCAGAGACCAGATTCACAGGGAGCAGCTGTACCTGTGGCCTCCCTGCAAGACTCACACCAGCGGATGGTACTCGAGTCCACAGATGCACGGAGCCATGGGTCCAAAACAAATTCTCCACTGAGATGGGTCCACAGAGCCTGCTGGCCACAATGGCTCCACAATGGCTGGATCTAATGTCTTCCTTTATGAATACATCTGTGCACCTTGGATCAGTTTAAAAACGAAATACTTCCTGTCACGATGATCGATAGCAAAACCGTGTACAGCTGAGGACTCTTCTGGCTGGGTGGCACGTGGTGGTTGTATTTTGCTATCTAGTTTCTTTTATGCAAATTCGTAGCAATTGCTTTAAGACAACCCACTTTGCCTCAGACAGTGACCCTATTAAGACCACATGTTTACAGAAAACTTGGGAGTTTTTCTTTAGAGTTCTCACAACAAGAAGTATGAGGTGTCTGTGTATTGAGATAAGCAGTGGTATATACCACACAATCTAAATTAGGTTCTTTAAAAACATTTGATGCGGTCTTACTCTAGGCACTAAAACAACATCTTTAAAAAAATAAAATTGTGATTTCCAAGGCCTTTATTTTATAGAGAAGAGGAATAAAAGATCAATGCTAGTGGGTGGTTCGTCATGAGCCCAAGGCCTGTTGGGAGTCTCTGCGAGGTCATTTGCCCTTCAGATTCTGCAAAGGCAAAAAGAAATTGATACTGATTTTTAAAAATATATCTTAGAAGCCCTGGTCTCCTGATTCCATGGATGCCTGCAGCACTTGTATCTGGAGAATGGAGACAATATCACCCCAAGCCTGAGTTCATTTGATGCAACTATTATGTATAAAACAGTTAATTATATACATAAATAACATAAAATAATTCTCATAAATTAAAAGTCAAATGATCTCCCACTATTCATTCAACTAAGAGGTGAGAGCTGGGCGCGAGTGATGGTGCGTGAGGTGAGGTGGTGAGCCCCGCAGACCCTCCTGCGTGCTGCCTGGGGATGAACTTTCCTTAGTTCACGAAGGCATATATTGCACAAAACAAATTCCAGCGCTATCCTCAAAAGTCCGGTTTGGAGTGGAGTGAGGTGCTGAGAAAGTTGCATTTTGAAAAACACAACCATCCTTTGCTCTGCTGGCAACATCAGGACTGCTCTTCAGCAATTACTCAGCCATGCCAGTGTTTCCTCAAGATGGACTCCCAGTGAGTACAGGATCTGGGATAACTGGCAAAGCAGGACACATTAAGGCAGGTTTGTCCTCTCACTGTGGCCAGTGTTCAACAGAGTACCAGGAAAGTTAAGAGCACACTTCTCCCCACACCGCTCAGTGTTTCTTGTGGGCAGGAGGGGCTGGGTGCCTCCCCCCACCCTGGAACCCTGGCCCCTGCCCTGAAACTGGTATGCAGACATGACAGCACGTGTCCCCGCACACACAGACCTGGCTGTTAACCGCACATTCAGTTTTGGGGGCAATTAATGCTTCTATTAGTGAACTAGCCTCTCTGCTTTCATTACCACCTGGCAGGAAACGGCATTTTCTCTGTGGTTCCGAAATACCTACACTTCCACTGTAAAGAGCCAAACTCATTCAGTATTTTTATAGAAAACTGGTCATGAAATACACCAACTTTTGGGATTGAAGTTTAAACAGAAGGAAAATACAAATTTCCCCCCATTTCTTCCACTTGGGGGATTCTAGCTGTGCTTCAGCCAGAATGGACACATTTGGATTGCAGAGAATCCTGAGACAACCCGGGGGAGCCACTGGCGGCCGCAGGGAGGCTCACTTCTCAGCTGCACGACCCTCTGCATCTGGGCAGCTGTGAAGGGTGGACAGGGACCGACGGTCCTACAGTGCACACGACTTTATCATGTTAACATAAAACTAAAACACAATGTTGGCCATAACAGCCTTGAACACATAATGTATGTTTGAAATAAAGTTAAAAAAAAAAAAACTATTGGAATTCGATTCACGGATATTACTAAGATGCCTTTTGAGCTGGGGTCAGTGACCTCACGTGACCCCTTGTCCATGATGAGCTTGATCTCGAAGGTTGCAGGATCACATGCGGCTCAGCACACCTCACATGTGGTTTCAGCCCATAGTTGAATAAGAACCGACTCAACTCCTAGTTCAAAGAGAATAAACGTTACTTTAACTTCTATCTGTTCGCTTGCAAAAACCAGAAGCGAGGAGAAAACGTTCCCTGCTGCCACCTGTGAATACTGTCTGTGTTCTCAGACAGGAACCAAGCTCTAAAAGAAAAACCATTGGTGTTCCTAATAACTTATCTTCTGCCTCTTACCATCCTGCTTTTCTCTCAGCCTCACTTTCCTGAACCCTGTGTCAAGTGAACACTGGTTCTTTAAGGGGAGGCAGATGGGGCCCCGGCCCAGGACTTACTGCCTTGGTAAGGCATAGTGTGGAACCCCATCCAGTTTAAAACTCTTGCCTGCCAGAGGTCACTTCTAGAGTTAAGCTGATCTCGGACTGTAATGGTTGCTGGCGGGGGATCTGGAGATACTCTGCAAAGCTAAGTCAACCTTACATTGCAATGTATGACTTTTTGTTTGGTATCCAGCAAACAAATCTAAACAAATCCCAAACATCCCTCTGCAGTTCTTGCCCCGAGTTTCCCGGAACGCAGCTCAGTAGCTGTACATCTGCTGCTGCTGCTCCGCCTGCACCTGGGGCTGGGCCGCCTGCTGTGGGGGTGCCTGCGGCTGCGGGGGTGGCAGGACGTCAGTCTGGGGTACTGCCCGCCATGTAAGCGGGTGCTGGTCACTGAGCTGGCTCCCCAGGGGCGTGATGGAGTTGACCAGGGTGGTCAGATTGATGAAGTGGGCCACAGACTGGGGGTTCGAGGCTTCCGGCTGGGGGTGGATCTGGACATCATTTTGGCGGTTGTGCAACATGGCCGAGCCGCTGACGGTATCAAAGGTCACGGTCAGGATTGAGTTGTCCAGCTGTAACTGGCGTTCGGGGGTGGTAAGGTGTCCCACGGCCACCGGTTGGAGATTGGTAAACTGAGTCCCGGCTGCAGTGGTGATGGGGGTCACGGTGATGTTGGTCAAGCCAACTGAGCTCGACGGTGTGGTCACGTTTGGGTCACCCAGGGTCACCACTACCTGGAAGATTCACACACAACAAAAATCGGTTCATTTTTGCAAAACAGGGAACGCAAGGACCGCCCCAGGATGTGCTCTGTGTTACCCTGCCGGAATAACCACACGCCGCACCCCGGGAACAAGAAGCACGACATTCTTTCATGAAAGAGGAAATGGAGTTAATTTTGTTCTGAAAAAATTCCAGCAAAAAAGAAAAACAGACACAATCATGAAGGCAATGAGAAGGAACTAAGAAACAAATTAACTTCACTGGCTAGAAAAAAAAAAGTAAGCATGAAAAAGAAAACAGATGCTTCGTTTTCTATTCATTCCTCCGAAGTGCCCTGCTGTTGGTAAATGAAAATCCCACCACAAAACTACAAAGAGCAATAAAAGTATTTGCAGTACCAATCGCTAACAAGAGAAAGCATTCTCTTTCATGGAGAGGGATGAAAGGCCAAATAAATAGAGAACTTTTGCAATGAAGATTACCATCCCCCAGATCGAGAGAGAGAAGTGCAGTATTGGACACAGACTGATCAAACACTCAGAGGTTTCAAAAGCAAAAGTGACGAAGTCTGAGCAAGACAGAAGGTTCCAGTCAAGACAGTGGGATTGTGGGATTGCCTTCACCTTCCAGACCGAGGGATCCTTGCTCTCCAGCTAGTCAGCAGGGCTGAGCTTTCATCATAAGGGGACTTGGGCAGGCCTATCTGTGATCTCCCCAAACTGCAAACAGCCCACCTAATTCCCACCCGGGCAGGGATATCCCTCTTCAACATGCTAGAATGGATGTTGCTGCTAACAATGACAAGCAGGATTTGTAGGTCAGAACTCAGAAATGCTTACATGAAACATGCCTAAGTGAAAAATAGGATATGTCTGCTGCCTTCAACCATGTGAAGTCCACATGTACACTGTGTATAGTAAAAAGAGATGGAGTCACACATAGGGCTCTCATGCTTAGGGAAAGTGACCAGCACCTAATCAGGAGATAAAGCAGCACACTGACCTGCTGAATGCTCTGTACTGCAGAATTGGTCTCGTCGCCTACGCTGCCTGTGAATTCGGTCTCTTTCTCTGAGTATTCGCTGAAGGTGGCGTCCTCGGGCACTGGAGCGCCCGCCTCCTCTTCTGGCTTCTGCTTTCTCTTGTGACTTCGCTTGGCAGCTTTCCCATGCTTCCCTTCGGCCAAATCCTCCTGCTCCAGAGTCAGCTCAGGCTGCAGGAAAACCAGTTTCAGCCAAGAACCAGGTTAGTCGGTCACGTCATGCAGCAGCCAGGACAGCCCCAGCACTGCCCTGGACATACTCTCGAATCAGTGGGGAGACTCGTGGGCCACCGAGCTGCCACAGGAAACAGAGTGACCACAGCTGGGTCTTGCATTTCTAAGGATCGCGGCAAGTTCCTTTAGTTGCACATTAAAAAATATATATATATATATATATATGTATTTTATATATATGTTTTTTTTTCTTGGTTTTTTTTTTTTCTTTCTTTAGTAGAGAGTTTCACCGTGTTAGCCAGGATGGTCGCCATCTCCTGACCTCATGATCTGCTTGCCTCGGCTCCCAAAGTGCGGAGATTACAGGCGTAAGCCACCGTGCCTGGCAACAAGTCGTATTTTTAAAAGTTGTATTTTATGCTAAAATGTAAACACTTTTTAGAAACCTTTCAAGCCACTGGGTAAAGGGGAATGTTTCCACCCAGGTGAGCTCCTAGAACAAAGCTAAAAATGCTTTCAAATCAGGTTTCTCTTCCCCAAGGCTGTAACAAATCTACTGGAAAAAAAAAAATTGAATTAAAATAGATTTGACCACAAAAAACTGCAGGGGAAAGGAACCAAGGGCCCAGCTGCAGTGATGATGCCAGTGGATCCCCGCACACTTCCCTGCAAGTGTCCAGGGTGCTGCTGGGCTGTGACCACATCTTCTGAACCAGGCTAGCTCTGCAGCCAGACTCGCTCAGGCTCACAGAGGCTGTGGGGCAGTGGTGGCTGGTGAGTGGTCACCTGCCACTCCTCTCGGGCTTCCTGTACCGTTCCACACGACCTGGTCCTAACCCAGTGGCAGACAGACCCAGTGTGGGCCTACATCGTGGTCATGGTGGGACGTCCCTTCCTCCCTTCCCCCCATGCCTGTGACTTGCCAAGGGTAGAAATGGCCTGTGGGTTCTGGGGCTGAGGCTGGAGCTGCCACACGTCACTCAGCCGGACCCAACCCCCCTCATCAAGACTGCATTCTAAAGCGCTATTTCAGAACAGGAGGCATACATGTGATCTTAGATCTTCATCATTCTCTGAAATAAAAGCATTTTTGCTGACTAAAAATATAGTATTAACTAAAAATTTCTTAAAAAACTAAGTTCATCTAATCGATATGTTTAAGCTTATTTTGCTTAGAACAATTTAATGATTGTTCCAATTTTTTTTTTTTTTTGAGACAGAGTCTTGCTCTGTCACCCAGGCTGGAGTGCAGTGGCACAATCTCAGCTGACTGCAGCCTCTGCCCCCTGGGTTCAAGCAATTCTCCTGCCTCAGCCTCCTGAGTAGCTGGGATTACAGGCATGCACTACCACGTTTGGCTAAGTTTTGTATATTTAGTAGAGACAGGGTTTTTCTATGTTGGCCAGGCTGGTCTTGAACTCCTGACCTCAAGTGATGTGCCTGCCTTGGCCTCCCAAATTGCTAGGATTACAGGCGTGAGCCACTGTGCCCAGCCAATTGTTCTAATTTCTTTTTTTCTGGAAAACATCTGTTTTCCAAAGTGAGATATACCAGTGTTCAACAAACTGAGGTCACAGAAACTACAGAAACGAGATGATCTAAAAGGTTCTGAGGGGAAGAGAAGCCAAGAAAACAGGTGACCCCAGCCACAGGCTTGCCCAGAGTTGCTTCCTCCCGGCCTGTCCAAGCCCCTCAGGTCTCTTCTGCAGGTGTCCACTTGCCCCAATGTTTCTGAGCCCTCGGAGCCCTGTGCCACTCACCTGGACAATGCCAATGGAAGAGGCGTCGATTGTGGTGGTCTCTGGGAGGTGATCCAGGTCATCGATCCTCACCGCGAGCACCTATGAGGAGCACAGGGCATGAGCTGGGGGTCAGGGTGCTGCTGATGCAGGCGGGAACCCAGAAGCCACACATGCCTCGGGACCATCTGCACCACTCCTGCCCTTCCCTCCCAGGCATCCCCCACACTTCCCAGTCTCCTCTGTTCAGTTCTGACTTTGAAACTCTGTCCAGAAGCCCAGGGCTCATCCTCACCTCTTATTTCACGCTCCCGCAATGCTCTTGCCCCTGTATCATCTCACGTCCACTCCCCCCGGGGGGGGGGGGGGAAGACTGTATCCTCCCTTTTTGGCCCCACACCAAAGGGGTGAGGTTTCAGTGGTGCTTCTGTTATTCCAAGGAAGACCACAACAAGGTAAGATACGGTAGAGTAAACCTGTTCTATGAGGAATCACCAAAAATGAGACATTGTGCCTTACACATCGTGCTTTTCAGTTGAATCCATACACAAGTGCTTTCATTTGTTGGTTTTGCGATGAAGTGATGCCCTGCCCCTACCTTCCCTCCGATGGCCACACCGAACAGGGTTCTCAGCACACCCCGTGTGCCCACAGGGCCCCTCCCACCAGCTCAGTGCATCCTGCCCAAAAGTAAGTGACCTTCATTGCTCTCACCCAGCTACAGCAGTTGTGTTTGTTCTTGTGATGACCTAATTAGACCATAAGAAAGACAATGGAAAACAAGTACAGAGGCAGCTGAACATGCGGGGAAGGCGTGATAAAGGGGAGGAGCTTAAAATTAGCAAGAGCCTGCCTGTAAGGATGCTTCACCCAAACAGCTTTGCAAACATCTTTAAATTTCTGATCAACTAAAGGAAGTTAAAAATGGAAAAGCAGACCATGCTTTGTGGACGTAACTCATTTAAAAAAGAGAAGTGCATCGTTAAATTTACATTCCATGACTAGGTCTGGGCCCCTTCGTGGAAAAGATGGCAAACAAAGGCTGGCCAGTAAGTGTTTTAAGTTAACAAATCCTGCAATGGTTTTGAAGACTCCAGTGTAACTCTCATTGACACTGAGCACAGATCTATACTGTGACACTCGCAAAGGACCCTGAGCAAAAGCAACCAGACTGCTGTGGATGCACTCTCCACTCTCACCACCACCACCACCTCTGTCATCAGTATCGTCACCATCAACATCGTCACCACAACCACCTCCATCACGATCATTGCCCTCATCACCACCAACATTGTCACCACCATCCCTATCACCATTACCATCTCCCCCACCATCACCAACACCACCAGCACCACCATAGCTCATAGAAGAGGAAAACCATAGATTGGAGTCACAAAATAGTATCAATCCTAAAAGATTCCGAATCTCTAAGTTATGCCTGTTTTAACTAGTCCAACAGTTAAACTATAGTTTAACTTAACTAGTTAGTCTGACTCCAATGAACACCTTCCTCCTCCTGAATCTGTGGCATCACCAATGGGGACAGGCTCGGGGGACCCCTGATGTCCCACTCTCAGCCAGGCCTCACTGCGGCAAACACACAGCTACACAAAGCCGACCCGAGTCCCCTTCCTTCCCCTCACACTGCTGTCTGGGGTTGTCTCTTCCATACCCTCTATTCTAGTAATCACTTTGCGTATCTACTTCTCATTTTTCTGTTTCCTACCCAGACTGTAAAGTCCAGGAGGGCAGGGATGGACTCTGGCTGGCCCATAGGCATTGTTTGAGTTAATGTAGGGAGAAACAACTGTGAGATGATCAAAAGGAATGACACAAAGAGCACAGGGTAAAAGGCTGGAGAAACAAATTGGTTCGAGAACAAAGACAAAATCCCCCCGCACCACCTTCTCTGGGTCTGGAAGGCTTTCCTCTTGAGTCACTTGGTTCTGTCTGGGTTGGGCTTGAGGGGAGTGGGGATAGGTAGCACAGCCCAGCTGAAGGAGTGGAGCACAGAAGGTGAACATGCAGTCAGGCCACCTTAGGAAGTGGTTTAATCCTGGTGAGAGGACTCTGCCTGACAGTGTTTCTAGGAGATGCCTTTATCAGTACGGCCTCTCCACCCAGCTATGCACATCAAAACTCTGGTGTGCAAAAGTGATGTGCACACTGAAGTCTATAAACCCACACAGTCATGGAAAGGAACCGCCCAAACGCCAGCCTTGCTCACGGGCTGCTGCCTGGGCTGTAGGGCCTGCCCTGCCCCTGGGGCACCAAGGTGGTCCTGGTGCTTCGGGTTCCTGCTCCCCCGACTCTGTCTAGGAAAAACACCAGCTGGCCACTACATGAAAAGGGAAGCAATGGAACTCGGGGGAATCCAAGCTCCCCGCTGAGCAGGGCACAGGGCAGAGTATGCAGGCACAATCCCCTGGCTTCCCGGACCAGAGAGCAGGCTGAGTCCCGGCACCACCCTGGGAGCCTGATCAGGCTGCAGAGGAACAGGAACACACCGATGTCCCGGATCACCCCCAAACTAGGGAGCCGACGGACTGATGCCACCTGAAGCAGACGGTGCTTTCCCAATTCCAAAAGGAAGCCACTTTCATTATAGGGGATTGGAAAATAGAAAAACGTGAAAACAAGAAATTACCCATAACTTCAAGAACACGAGAAAAATCACCGTGGGATGTTTTGCTTCCTCCTTTACCTGTCTCATTTATGTGAGTATTACCCACAATGTGTGTGACGTATATCGTGTATATACACACATTATATATGTGCACAACATATACTGCTTTCACGTATGTAATGAGCATTTCACAATTTTATTTCGGATCCGTGTAAGCATGTGTGTGCAGGCAAACACACTGCTAAACCATCACTAATTGAATCACATTCCTATTGCAGGATGTGGAGGGGTTGGAATAATCATTTATTAAACACTCGAGAAATACTGTGATGCTGCCTTCAACAAAAACATCCAGCGGTGAGGGCAGCAACTCATGCCAGCTGGCCAGTGTGGTCACTCTGAATCTAAAACCTGACCCCTCGACAGGCAAAGGATGCCATCCTCCGCCGCTACCGTTTGTGTTTCTGCGATGCGCAGTGAGCTGAATGCCTTTCTGTGTGTGTTTCACTATGGCTGTTCTTCCTGCATGAGCTCCCTTCTCCGTGTACACCCTGAGTGCGCCTTGCGTGTTTCTCAGCCAGTGCATGCTATCGCTAATGTTAACAGGGTCTATCTGCCTAAGACCGTCACGGCCTATGCAGATTTATTTATTTATTTTTTTTTGAGACGGAGTCTCACTCTGTCACCCAGGCTGGAGTGCAGTGGTGCAATCTCAGCAGCTCACTGCAACCTCCGCCTCCCAGGTTGAAGCGATTCTCCTGCCTCAGCCTCCCGAGTAGCTGGGACTACAGGCTCCGGCCACCATGCCCAGCTAATTTTTGTATTTTTTAGTAGAGACGGGGTTTCACTATGTTGGCCAAGCTGCTCGATCTCTTGACCTCATGATTCACTTGCCTTGGCCTCCCAAAGTGCTGGGATTACAGGCGTGAGCCACTGCACCCAGTCCAGATTTTTCATTTTTCCTTTGGCCCGTATTTATTCTGAGTGCTTATGGAGTCAAACCTGTGTTCACAACTCCTTTTGCTGCTTTTACGCTGAGAGTCTACTCCTTTCTGTGACCTGACAACCAAGTTTTCCCCTGGTTTTGTTTTTCAGGGTACTCCTCCTTAAAGCACATTTAATTATGGAACATCCCGGCCCTTCCTGTGGAGCAGGCTTTCAGGGCAGTTGGGCTCTGCCTGCATCTGTACAATTCCCCCTCCCCATCCTCAGTGTCATACTCGGCCCCAACACCACGTGGGGCCCCCATTTTGCATATTTAGTTCCGTGAGTGGGAAGAACTGGGGGAGTGGCAGGGCTGTGCTTCCATCTTACCATAATTTCAGGGAGGATGTAATTTATAACCTTAGCAAAGGTCCACCTGAGGCTCTCCTAACCTCTCCCAGGCACTCACTAAGCGCCTCCTATATGGTGGCAGACCGTGTCAGTCACAGAGGTACCTAAGACTCAGGCCCCGCCTCCAGTACTTGGGGTCTGCAGAGGGAGGTGGGCCATGTGCCAGCGTGGGGGTGTCCGGTGCATGGCCCACTGGTGGGGCACGGAGGGTGCACAGCCACCAGCTTACCTCGGGGTGCTTGCGCCGCATGTGTCTGCTCATGGAGGCCCTGGTGGACACCTTCGTCCCGCACAGCTGGCAGCTCTGCGCCTCCACCTTGTCGTGTGTGAGCTGAACGTGCTTCTGCAGCATGTATTCAGTCACGTACTTCTTGTCGCACACGGAGCACGTCCACTGCTTGCCCACTTTTCACACACACGCAGACACACATGCACGTGGAAAGGAAGACACAGGTCACCAGTGCAGCCATCCCAATGACCCTGGCCTGCTGCACGAGGCAAGAAGCCTGTCACACCCTGCCCATCCTGAGAGGGCCGGTGCTGGTCCCCGAGCACACGTGAGCTCAGAGCCTCTGTCCCTTGGGGAGCACTGCCAGCAGCAGCTGCATCACTGCACCAATATGAGAAAATTCAAGAAGCGATACTTGACAGCCGTGGTGGGCTGATCTTTAGAGGCCAAGGGGCCACCATGAAGCCAAGACACCACTAAATGTTCTGGAACCGTCTAGATAAGTTGTTTCCACCCCCGCAGGCACTCAGACAGCCCCGGCAGCCTGCCGCATGCAGCCCCGAAGGCTCCTTCAGGCTGCGCCTGCTTACCTGTGTGGATAAGCTTGTGGGTCTCCATCGTGTTCCTCTCGCTGAATGTCTTCCCACACAATTCACACATGAAATCTTTAATCCCTGCAGAGAATGGCGCACATAACTTCCTATGTTTAATGAGTGTTATAAGTCCACATCAGTCTTCTCCCTGACATGTCCTAGGAACTACAGAACCTTCAGGAGAAGGTGAATTGCAAGAAAACAGTAGACAATGAACGCTCATCTCCAGCCTCAGCCGGCAAAGTGTGGCTTGGAAAGTTTATGCTTCCATGGTGACATTTCATATCAAAAAAATCATGAAATGTGGGAAAGGCTGTCTGAGAACACAGAGAGTGGAACCCACAGAGAGAGGAACCCACAGAGAAAAACGATGGGAATTTCTTTAAAGCATTAATGTATCCACACCTCCCTTAGTCCAGGAAGCTCTTAGGCAGCATGTGATACGACAACGAGAGAGGAAACAGCAACTGAAATCAGGATCAATGGCAAGGAGGGCACAGATGCGCCAAGCATAAGAGAGAACAGAACTGCCGTGCTCAGACAAAATAAATGTGATTCTTCAAAACTTGACTAATTCAAATGAGAGCTGATGCCGGGCACGGTGGCTCATGCCTGTGATCCCAGCACTTCGGGAGGCCAGAGGAAGATTGCTTCAGTCCAGGAGTTCAAGACCAGCCTGGGCAACATGGCGAGACCCCGTCTCTACAAAACTAAAATAATGAGCTGGGCATGGTGGTGTGTGCCATGCAAGGGATGCCTTGCTCTCTTCTGGGTGCACTATGGCTTGGCCATTGCCCTACTGAGGCTACAGATCTGACCTTCCGGCACCTTCCCTAACACAAAAGATGACAAGCAACCTTGCATGCACATCCCTGGCCCTTGTCTGGTTGCTGTTTCTTGTGCACATTCCTGTGGGAGAAACAGCTGAATGGGAGGGACATTTAAGGACTGACCAGTCTCCCAATGCCTGAGGTGAGCTGTGCAGCATGCACTGCGGTTGATAAGGCGGGAGGGGGGGGACCTTTTGAGACACATGGCCACTCACCATGGCCCCAGGAAGCTCCCTTGGGGAACCAGGCACTCACTGGGAGTCACAAAGAGGAAGGGTCTCGAGGTGTGTCTCTTCCCCCACGGGCCCACCTGGCTTCCCTATGCAGTGAGTGCCGTGGCTGGTGCGGCCCAGGCCTCGGACTCACCGGTGTGCCGTTTGCAGTGCTTCAGCATGTTGATTTTCTGCGCGAACCTGCGGTGGCACTCTTTGCACTCATACTCCTTGATGCCCTTGTGCAGCTTCATGTGATGGCGCAGTGCGTGCTTGGTCTTCATACCTTCGAGGACACAGCGAGTCAGAGGCAGCCACACCCCCATGCAGCCCACCTGGGGGCCCATGCCCAAGACCTTGGGGCAGGCACAGACATTGGCAGTACCGGTGAGGGCGTCGGCCAGCCCCCGAGGGTCCCGGTCAGTCCACTAGCAGTGAGACCTGGGAAGTGACTGTGCCCAGAGGCCGGGAGACACTGTGATATCAGGTGCACTCACTCCTGCCAGGGCCTGGCCGAGCCCCGAAAAGGCAAGCAACACCGGGGCTGTGGGTAAACATCCCTGCGTGCCCATGGCAACCTAGCAGGAGAATTTGGTGAGATAGATTAATATAAGTATGATTAAGGATTCTTTTCAACCTTGACAATATGAGTGATGATTAGGATTCAGACACTAGATGGTTTCAAAAGTGGTTTTCAGTCTACCTTTAAGAAGCCAATCTAAGAAGGTGAAATACTCCAAAGCCTCACTTATGCAGCCAGTGAAGAGAGGATGGCCCTGGCATAGGGGCTGAGTCAGAGGGCACAGGGGGCTGGCAGGGACAGCACTGTACAAAGCCCTCCACAGGGACATGGGCAAGGGAGGCCTGGTACACCTGCCCGGGAGGCTGACACGCACCAGGGCACAGGGAGACCCAGCCCAGAGGCAGCCTCCCCCACCCCAAGGAGGAGCCTTCACTGTGCCTGCCCAGGGCAGTGGGCAGCCTGCATTCCCAGGCCCCCATGTTCCCTCCACATTTGGGGAAGAACTACCGAGCCTGAACACAGCTCTGTCATAAGCTGGTGAATGGTTCTCCTCCAATTCCACCCTCACCAGATGCAGGGGTGACTGTCACCAGCTCCTGCGAGGCCAGGCCAGAAGACCTCCCTGGCTAAGAAAACTGCGTGGCTGGGCCAGCAGGGGGAGCAAATGCCCCGCGATGAAGCCACGCCGCCAGCACACACAGCTGCAGGGCTCCTGCCCTTGGGTGGGGACGGCACCTGCAGGCCTATTACCAATGACTGAAGAGTGATTGCACCTGAAAAAGTTATTTCATCTTTCTGATTAAAAAAAAGAGTGCCGGTCACTGCTGACACACCCAGACCCGAGCACCTCCCTCTTCCTGCTTCTGAAATGAACATATTCCAAATTTCAAAACTAATACACAGTCATAGAAAAACCAGAAATACAGAAGAGATGGCATCTCCACCTTCTGACCTCCCCACCACAGCCAGCGTTGGTGACAGTAACGTTTTTCCTTCCATTTAACAATCTGCCAACAGTTTCAAAATAAACACAAGTGCCACACAGAGAGTGAAGCTTGCTCTACTGGGATTGTGATCCAATCTGTTTACAAATTACCATGGGGAAAATTGACGTTTTTTAAATACTTAAAATTTCCAAACCCAAACAGGGCATGCCTTTTGTATAGCTTTCAACACCTGGTGTCATATTCTCACCGGCCACACTAAGTTCTTGCGGATCATTCCTGAGTATTTCAAGGCCCATGATGTGATTCTGAACAACACGTTTTCCTCCACACATGCAGAAAACCTACTGGCTGGGCCCCGCCCCTCCCTGCTGGTGACAGGCTCTCACGACTTCTAACAGCCTCCCACTTGGTCCCCAACACTTAAGTCCCTGGTCAGGGCTAGAGTTTCTGGAGAAAAAAATGTAATATGCAACACTGTTTCTAGGAACACTGTAATAATAAATGACTATAAAAAGACAACCAGAAACTATAAATAGAGGGTCTGGTTATATGAATCCACATGGTGGAATCGTACCAAGGGTTTGAAAAATCAGGTAATATTTACATGTTCTGATATAAAAAGATCTCCAAGATGTATTTTCAAGTTAAAAAAAAAACAGCAAAGTATCAAAAAAATAAGCACAAGCATGTGCTAGTATGTACTAGCACCTGTTACATTACAACAAGATGACAATACTGATATTTGGTATTATGTAAAATAAATCTGGCAACTAATGTATTAATGCCAGCATCTTATTTCAGCTATTCAGAATTCATTTAAAAAAACCATGCAACTAAATAACACATTTCAAACACTAAAATCTCTACATCATAAAATGTGGCTTTATCCCACACCCCTCACCTCCCAGGGCACCTGGTGGCATTTGGGGACCTGCAGGGGACCCAGGTGTGGCTCCTCTCTGCCTAAGAGGCCTGGCCCTGAATAAGGCCCCACCTCTGGCCCTCCTGTTTCTACACGCTACTCAGGACCCCTCCAGCCAGGCTCACCACAGTGTGTTAAACGCATTGGGGAGGAAAGGGAAGCAGAGGTGGTGAAAGGGGCTGGGAGCTTAAGGCAGACGGGGACAAGAGCAAGCCAGCCTCTCACTAAGGCAGGCAGACACTGCTACCAACATTCCGTTCAGAGAAACCTCCGCAGTGGCTCTGCGAGGACTGGCTGGGATTTGAGGGGAGAGTACCACCACCACCTTCTAGACCTGTCTGTATTGTTTAAAAAATACGTTTTGGTGAGGTGCATGCGCTGCTTTTTACCACCCACGTGCCGTCCTTGCGCAAAGTTACCCTGGAGGAGGGGCAAGAGCCTGCGCTGGCCTCTGAGGCGAGGAACCGAGGGCCAGGAAGTGGGGAAAGGAAATATCCCGCTTCTGGCCTTTTCTGCAGGCAGTTCTTTCAGGCTTTGACATGCAGCGTTATTCTACCGGGGCTTATAGGGGTCATCCGGTGAGTGCAGTTCATCGGGCTCCTTGTGTTTCCTTCACACTGTCACCATGACAGCATGAGCAGGGTCGCCTGACACAGCCCAAGACAGACCTGCTGCTCCAAAACTTTTAGGAAGTTGTTTTTCAAAACAAACAGGAATGGGTTACAATTATGACATGCACTGGAATTATATTTCTATTTTGCTTACTAATTTGAGACATTTTATTTACTAGGTTTGTTATTAATGAATGTTCTGTCATTACAATGAAGATTCCTCGGCCGTGGTGAATTCCTCTCTGACCACACAGCCAATTCTAGTCTGCGTAGTGAATACGCTGAGGGTTTTGCATCTACTTTCTGACCCCGTGGTGGTTTTGAGAATCATTCTGTACTTTAAACAATTAGATCCTGCATTGTTTTCCTCCTTTTAAAATGATTTGTTTCTGCCTTTAAATTTATCACATCTTTCTGCTTTCTGGACTACTTGATTTTTCTTGCAGATTACTGATTTAAATCCTGCCTCGAGTCCTTCTTTCCTTTTAAGTGAGTGAGTGAAGCCTATGGGCTTCCAGGGCCACACTCTGGCAATGCCTCTCACACTATGGTCGATGTGCCAGTTCTCAGTCATGTCCCCTTCCAGAGTCCTGCAGCTGGGCGGCCTGGCTGAGCCTGGCCCGTGGCCCCCGCACCTGCACCCACCTTTCCCACACTCAGCGCACAGGTACTCGCGGACGTTGTCATGCACACGCATGTGCTCCTTCAGCATGTCCTTCCTGGCGAAGGACTTCCCACACTGCTCGCAGGCGTGGCTCTTCACACCTGAGAACACAGGCATCCGCAATTCAGAGCCGAGGAGCTCTGATCTGCGGTGGCCGCAAAAAGGACGTACCAAGGAGAGGGGCCCAGCCTCCCCGACAGCTGGAAGTGCAGTGACAGGGATGGGGTCGCCTCTTCAGCAGCCTCCCCAGAGCCCTCCCGGGGGTCCTATGGCTGGAATAGATCCCTGAGGACCTGCAGGGGTAAGGGGGCAGGGGGCACTGGGCTCTGAGTAGCAGGGCTGATAAGGACGGGAAAAGATGGAGAAACAGAGGAAGGCACGGGGGAGGCAAGGTGCGACGGCTCTGTGTGTAGAATATGTGGGATGTAGGATGTGGGGCCCCACGTCCTGACAGACACGCACCTGTGTGGATGAGTTTGTGGCGCTCCAGGTTCCCTATGCTGTTGAAGATCCGTCCACAGATCTCGCAGGGGTGGATGTACCTGAAACCAGAGACAAGCTCAGGATGGCTGCACAGCCTCGGGGCTCCATGGCAGCGAGGGCGCTCTCCCCAGCACCTTCCTCCGCAAAGATGAGGCAACAAGGTGCCACAGGGATGATAAAAGCAGCAAATATTTGAGCCTCTGCCACAGGTTGAATCTTAACCCCCCCAATTCCTACGTCGAAGTCTTAATCCTGGCACTTCAGAATGTGACTATGTTTGGAGATGGGGTCTTTGCAGAGGTGATTACATGGAAAAGAGGCCATCAGGGTGGTCCCTGACCAATCTGACCAGTGTCCTTATAAGAAGATGAGATTGGGCACAGACATGCACAGTGGGACGGCCCTATGAGGACACAGGGAGAAGGCGGCATTTACAGGCCAAGGAGAGAAGTGTCAGAGGTGGCGGCCCTGCTGCCACCATGACCCCTGAGCTCCCGCCTCCAGGACTGAAGATGGTAAGTGTCTGTTTTTTAGGCTGTGCCGGCTGTGGTTCTTCGTTAGCGCCCCTGGACGGGACTGTTTAGTCACTCACTCAGCAGACTGCTTGGGTTATGGGCTGTATGTCAGATGTGGCCTGGCATTAAACCTAATTGCTGCAGGAAAAAGCATTTTGGGTCATTCTGTAGGCAGGGCAGGAACCTTGCTATTTTCCTGTAACATGGCCAGCTGGTGCCAGGAGACTATGTGGAAGCACAGGATAAACCCTGGCCCTGCCGCCCCTCGGCCCTGCTGCCCCCTAGCTCTGGCCCTGGGACCCAGAGGATATCACTTGTTCAAAGCTACAAATGGCTCCTTAAAACATGTGTCTCTTTGCAAGGAAGCATGTCCCCTCCCTCCTGGCACAACCCAGGAGCCCCCAACCAGGCCTCACTTTTGCACGTTGGGGTCCGGCAGGTTTTCGCGGTGGATGACCATGTGGGCGTGGTAGGTGGCCTTCAGCGCGAAGCGCCGGTTGCAGATGCTGCAGCCGTAGCCCTTCTCCTTGTGCACCTCCATGATGTGCTTCAGGTACTCCTTCCCCCGGCCAAAGGTGAGCTGCAGGCCGGGTGGACGGGGCACTGCTGACACCTGCATGAGCTCCCTGGTCCTCTTAGCTAATGAGGTTGTGTCCACAAACCAGGGCACCCAACACGCCCTGAGGACCCACGGCTCATGCCAGGGCAGAAGGGACTCTGAGAGGCTTGATGGGGAACTTTTCCGAAGCCATAAGGCCTTATGCCCAAAACTCAGAGCACGGTTCTCCTCGGAAACAAACCACTCTCCTTTTTGATGAGCCCCTTCCATGCACGGGGGAGGCCTTGTGAGGGCTTCAGGCCTGAGCGGGGAGGAGGAGGGGGAGGAGAAAGGGAGAGGGGAGAGGTGCCCCAGCCTGCAGCCACTACAGCCACCTTCTAGGAGTCTGACCCCCACACTTCATGTATGTGCCTGAACCGTGTCACAAGGCAAGTTCCTGGAGTGTGCCTGTGAGACCCACAGAGGCCATCCCTGAGCACCGAGGTGGCATGGGCTGGCCTTCCCACGCACAGGTGATGGACAGGCACCCAGTCTGCAGTAGGACCACTGGCCTGAGCCTTTGGGGAGGGAGGGCTGCTTCCAAGATCCACAAAGGCACCTGCTGTGTGGGGCCTGCAGCCTTGAAACTACCACGTTCCTTTCCAGACCACCCAGGCACTGCGGGGCAGACCCGCCATACCTGGCACCGCTTGCAGCTGTACTTGTGAGGCTCTGAGTCCGCGCTCTCGTCAGAATTGTCGTCGTTTTCTTCTGAGGAGATCCCGATCTTACCGATAAACTCCTCCCTCTGGTGGTCATCCATCAAAGCGATGTCCTGGAAAACAGCCAACACTTCCGGTTTCTAACAGTGCAGCAGACGCTTCACTCAGTTACCTATACCCCAGGGACAATCAATCATTTCCCCAGATGCAGAAGAAATACCTCTCTGATGCCCATGACGGCCCTAACGAGCCACACTTATGCCCCAGTCCATCCCAGCTTGTCCCCAGGGGTCCCCACCTAAACGCCAGAGCTGCCCTCGCTCTCCACGCCGCCCGTGGCTACGTCTCACATGCGCCCAGCAAGATCTCAATCTGTGCCCAGGGCCAGGCACTGCTGGGGAGTCCCCTGAGTGGGTCTCCCATACCACCTGTTACTTCTTCAGTTCTTGATCAGTGCTTCTCCCGCCCTTCATCACACCCCAAGTCCTCCCTGCTCCCAGAGCTTCCGCTCTGTTCCTCCCTTTCCTCAAAGGCGGGGAGGGATGCAAATGCCAGGTCCGGGATGGGAAGCAGCCACGGCGGGGAAGCTGGGCCTGGCAGCTGGGCCACAGGAAGTGAGGCTTGGAGAGATGAAATGTGGCTAGTTGTCAACTATTTGGAGATGCTGCTGTAGTCTGAATACTTGAACCCTCCCAAATTCCCATGTTGAATCCTAACCCACCAGGAAATGGTATCAGGAAGCAGGGCCTCTGGGAAGTCAGGTCATGAGGCTGGAGCCCTCAAGAATGGGATTTGGGGTGGGGCATGGTGGCTTATGCCTGTAATCGCAGCAGTTTGAGAGGCTGAGGCAGGCGGATCACCTGAGCTCAGGAGTTCAAGACCAGCCTGGCCAACATGGTGAAACCCTGTCTCTACTAAAAATACAAAAATTAGCTGGGCATTATGGCGGGTGCTTGTAGTCCCAGCTCCTTGGGAGGCTGAGGCGGGAGACTTGCTTGAACCCAGGAGGTGGAGGATGCAGTGAGATCTTGCCATTGTACTCCAGCCTGGGTGACAGACTGAGACTGCGTCTCAAAAAACAAACAAAAAGAATGGGATTCAGGCCCTTATAGAAGAGATCCCTACCCTTCTACCATGTGAGGACACAGAAGGTGCCATCTATGAACCAGGAAGTGAGCCTCAACAGACACTGAATCTATGGGGGCCTTGACGTCCAGCCTCCAGAACGGCGAGCAGCACATGTCTGCCCAGAAGCTGCCCCGCCTGCAGAATTCTGCTATGGAAGCCTGAGCTGACTGTGACAGACACTGGCCCGGGGGCCTGCCATGAGCATGCCTGGGTGAGGGCAGCACGCGATCGACACCTTGAAGTGGACGTGGATGTGGTCCCTGAGCACGTCCACGCGGAAGAACTTGCGCCCGCAGATCTCACAGGTGTACTTCTTGTCGCCGTGGGTAAGCAGGTGCTTATTCATATTGCTCCGGCAGGAGAACACCTGTGGGCAGAGGAGCCGCATGGTGAGGGGCTGCGGCGTCTCATGATGGGAAGGAGCCTCTCCACCAGGCTCCTCCAGGGAAACCACAACCCGGGACAGAAGCACAACACTGTGCTCCAGGCCTTGGTCTCAACAGTTCCTCAGTGTGCGAGAGATACAAATAATCACTGATGCCAGGATAAGGGTTACGCACTGAATTATGTAAACAGGTGCTTATGTTACAATAGAAAATTGACCATTTGCTAGTCTTTATTATAAACGTTAGTTCAGCTCCATTTTTTTAGCTCATGTAAATATTTCCCTAGGGTGGACTATCAAGGAACCAGTAAGTCACAGAAATACCTGCAATTTTCTGAAAGTAGATATCAAAGAAGAAAGCTAGTTACCCCCCCTTGGCTTTTATACCGTGTTTCATGCACATTCACAATGTCCCTGATTTCTTGCTCTGGCATGACGGGTATGGAGATGCACCCGTTCATCCAATACCCATCCCAGGGGGTCACCTCTGTGACCAGGGCTGGGGTTGGCGCTGGGAATACCGTGGTCCACATGACAGATGTGGCCCCACTGGCACACAGCAGTGGACAAGGCTGGCGGCTGAGACCACTGCGAGGGCCCTAGAAACCTCAGCACCCCACAGGGCTCTGCGGGCCTCTATCTGGATAGCCATTCCCAGTGGCCAAGTAACGCGGGGTGTGACCACCTAGAGCTCACCTGATGCCCACATTCTCAAGAAAAGAACGCAATAGATAAATGAAAAGGAATGAGTGATTCGCTAGGGAGAAGATGCCGGCATCTCCAGGCAACATCTCCTTCCAAGATGTGCAGATGACTTACGAGCTGACAGCACTGTGCCCCATCCCAGGGACACTAGGTGGGGCAATGCGACAGGGTGAAAGGTGAGCAGGAGAGGACAGAGTCTGCAGGTGTCATGGTCTTTACAGACAGACTGGGCTGAAGACGAAATAACTGGAAACAAAAATAATTCAGTCATCCAAACTACAGGCTATTTCACTACGTACCTCAACCCTCAGTGGGTATTCAATAAACACTGCACAGAATAAAAACGTGTTTGGATGTCAGGCACCGAGCTGGTTTTGCACATACGATCTCTCAACAGCATGGAAGGCACTTGGGGCCAGTACCCCCCAAGGGGCAGAGGTCAGTGGGCAGAGAGACCAGGGACGGGGAGCAAGGGGCACAGGCTTCGCCCACCTGTGGCCTGTGCACAGCTGGCCCAGCTCGCAAAGGTGCTCCAACTCACCTGCTCTACCCCAGCCCTGCCCCTCCAGCCCGCAGTCCGGAGCGTCACCTGGACCCCCAGCCACACCGACCTGCTCACTCATTTGCTCAGGCTCGCTCTGTGGTTTGAAAAAAATCAGGAAACTTCATATAAAACCTGAGATTTCCGTTTTGTCTTTAAAAGGTCAAAAGCTTGGTGATGGTACTGCATGCTGGAAGGCAGGACAGCGGGGCAGTGACAGAAGGCCTCCTGCGGGGGCCTGTGCTCCCAGCTGCTGAAACGCTGGAGGAGCGTCGCTCTGGGGCTCATGTGAGCTGTTTGTGGCTGAGGCATCCTCCAATCAGCGGCTCCGAAAGCCACCTGAGCGACATGCTGGAGCTGCTGGGCCCAGAGCCCACTTGGGATCCACTCAGAACCCTTACTTTGCAGCATGAGCTTTGCATCCTGTTACAGACAGTTCCTAGGCCTTTGAGCACAGATGCCATCTTATAGTCGCCTGAGTGAAAGCTAAGTAACGAAGAAGTGAAGTCACCTCCAGTCACAACCAAGGTGCTTGTGCACAGAACTTGGGGCCATGGCAGCCTGACAGCTGTGAGTGCCACGGTGTGGGCCCTGGGCTCTCCCGGGAGGGGCAGCGTGTTTGCTGGATGTTTAGGATCCTGCATCTCCACCAAGCAGCCACGTGTGGGAATCCCTTGCTAGTACCAGGATGGTCCCCTCACTGCGCAGCCCTCGGATGGATGTGCTCCCGTGGATGACATCACCCTTTCCTCACTTGGGCAGCGCTGGGCATCCACTGAACGTGCCTGGGACACCTGCCATGGGATCGGTCACGCTCTAACTTACAGAACGCCAGCCATCCACTGCACAGAGGAGACCGGCGTGACAGGCAAAATAAAGCCACTGGATCTCCCTGCATCCTCCTTCATTGTGCCCCAGTCCTGACCACAAGGTCACTGTCTGAACGATGCTATACAAGAGAGCGGGAGCCAGGGAGTAGCTCAGGTGGAAAATCATTGCAAAGAGGAAAAGAGGCTGTCCAGGAAGAACCCTTCTTTCTCAGCCCACTCACTGGAAACCCATCTTAGGTGCCAAAGAAATCCAAATGGCAAGTGTTTAAAATGGGTGGACACCAGTTTAAGACAACCTGAGCACCCATCGTTACCCCCCAAATCTTCCCTGCAGTACTCTATAAGTACAGCTCATAGAGTCTTAACTGAAGAAGATGATGTGCTTTCCATCTCAGCTTCCTATGCGGACCGCGAGCGTTACCTTGCCACACACCGGGCACCCGGAAGGCTCCTTCTTGTAGCGGACCAGGTTCTCCCCGCCGGCCTCCAGGTCCTCTCGCTTCACCCGCCGCACTCCTGAAATTGCCAACCCCACCAGCAAGACAGTGAATACACTCAGAACACACGAAGGTCCATCAGATCCCACTTCAGCCAGTGTCCTTTCCAGTGCACGGGAGGACAGGGCTGTCCACAGTGGGGACAGAAGCCTGGCGGTGTAAGTAACACCACCTGCACACTGTTTGGCATCAGCACGAACCGCCATTCCTGAAGCAGCCCCAGGGAAGGAAGGGAGATGGCACAACGTATGTGGCAGCTGCAGACACAGTTCTCGCATTGGAAACATTTGGAAATATAAGGGCATCGAGTGCTAAATTTTCCTAAGTGGCAGAGCAATGATGAGCTCCTATGGAAGAAGGCATTTCCACTCCATCTAAAGGCTCAAAGCCAACTTACGGTCTTAAATAGGCAGGCATTTTTTATTTAAAAGATACCAATATTCATCTCTCGCAAATTAATGTCAAACCAACATCAGGCTGGTAAATAAAACCTTTATGGTTTTGAGGCATATTGTTCCAAATTGGAATCAAGACAGATTTTTTTTTTTTTTTTTTTTTTTTTTGAGACTGTCGCTCTGTCGCCCAGGCTGGAGTGCAGTGGCCGGATCTCAGCTCACTACTAGCTCTGCCTCCTGGGTTTACGCCATTCTCCTGCCGCAGCCTCCCGAGTAGCTGGGACTATAGGCGCCCGCCACCTCGCCTGGCTAGTTTTTTGTATTTTTTAGTAGAGACGGGGTTTCACTGTGTTAGCCAGGATGGTCTTGATCTCCTGACCTCGTGATCCGCCCGTCTCGGCCTCGCAAAGTTCTGGGATTACAGGCTTGAGCCACTGCGCCCGGCCCAGATTTTTAAATGTTCATGCAAAACAGGTAAGTTTTGACCAAAAGAGAGAAGCCCACTTCTCAGGATTTCTACATTGCCGACCCATTCTGGGAGCATTCCTGCCTGGCCAGGTGTAAATGCAGAACCGGACTTAAAAATGCTCAGCAAGCTGGACGTTGGACAAATGGACCATTCTCCAAAGGCTCCCGGCATGACAGACACAGGAGTCTGAGGAGCAGCTTACACCAAGCTCCGATATGAGGGACAAATCCATAAAAGTCACAAAAGCATGAGTTTACTTCCACATAAGATGACCCGAGTTACGTTAAATTGTAAAATGCAACCCAGCCACACTGCATCCCTGGAAACAGTTGACTTCTGGCAGCATCCATAGCTACCGGCATTCACGGGCGCTTGCTATGTGTGGGGTGCTGTGCGAGAAGTTTCAAGAACAGGGTCTGGTTCAACCATCACAGCAACCCTAGGGGTTCAGGTCTGAGTACTGTCTCCCCTGCGTAGGTGAGAAAACTGAGGCACACTAGCTTGCTAAAGTCTACCCAGTCACTAAGTGGAGTCCAGGTTTGATTCATGAAGCCCTGAGGATATCACCCAAGGAACCACAAAGAAAAACGTTGTGGGTCTTCATGAATCAACATGAAGAAAAGAGTCAAGTAAAAAAGGAAAGTGCTAAAATGTACACAGGACACAATTCCGGCCTTTTTTTAAAAAACGGACAAAGGCACATGTGTATGCCTATTTGGATGGACATGGTTATACTTCATTTTTTATTTTTATATATATTTTTTGAGATAAGGTCTTGCTCTGGAAAACAGTGGTGCAAGCACAGCTCACTGCAGCCTCGACCTCCCAGCCTCAAGTGATCCTCCTGCCTCAGCCTTCCGAGTAGCTGGGTCTACAAGTACGTGCCACTGTGCCCAGCTAATTTTTTGTAAAAGCAGAGCCTCGCTATGTTGCCTGGGCTGGTCTTGAACTGCTGGCCTCAAGAGATCCTCCAGCTGCGGCCTCCCAAAGTGCTGGGGTTCCAGGCATGAGCCGCTGTGCCCGGGAGGGTTATACTTTACACAGGACTTTGTGGTCTCACATCTTCTTTTCAACAAGCATATACTTCATTTGTAATTATAAAATAATTTTTTCCAAATTTTAATGAAAGGGTGTTTGCTGCTCTTAGTTGCTCTTGTACGGGTTTTTCCCACTTTCTGTCATATTGAAAGCATTTTTCACAATATCTAGTATCTCTGAAAAAACACTTCTAATGACAGTAAAACACTTGACCCTAGAAATCGTCCAGTGTTCTTAACTCCTTCCCCAGTGTGGAACATTTAGGGTATTTCCAACTGCTTCTCCTTGCGCATAGCAGGTCTGACACCTGTGTCTCAGCTCCTTGCTCTCCTGAGACAGGTTCTCAGAAGAGGATGAGCCCATCGGATGGTGGGCGTTTCCAGGCAAAGGAGCAGGCAGCTGAACTGCTCCCCCAAAGGCCTTGCTGACCGCGCCACCCTGCCCTGCCCCACCCCACAGGAGCTGCCTCTCCCGGCCCACAGCAGGTGCACAGGTGGCCTCACCTTCCAGGTGCCGGCGCTGGTGGTCCAGCATGACGTCCTTGCGGTAGAACATCTTGCTGCAGACCTCACAGGCAAACTTCTTGTCGCCGTGCTTCTTCTTGTGCTTGGAGAGGTTGCTGTTGGTGGAGAAGAATCTGAAACACATCTCACATTGGAACGTCTTGTCATCTGTCCAGAGAGCAAACAAACACACAACGATTTTGTGGTAAATAACATCTCATGCAGGCACGCACTTGTGGCCTGAATGTCAATAAAGCGTGGGTGACGGGCATGAGAGTCACAGGGGACGCGTGGCCAGGAAGAAAACAGCACCTGTGTGTCACACGCTGTCCACCCCAGGAACACACGATGCAGAGATGGGACCCCCAGTGCTTGAAAAGCAGACACGGAGCTCACCTTTCATCACCAAGCAACGCCAGCCACCTCCCTCCCAGGCCACCCTGTCCCACAGCACCTGGGGACGATGGCTCCACTCCTGTCAGGAAAGCTGCCCGGTCCAAAGCTTCCCCTGGGCCGGCACTCTCCAGCATAACCGACTGACAGAATGACCTCCCTACCAACCAACCCACCATCCGACCAACCGACCACCCGGCCAACGTGGCCGCCCCCTGCCCCCAGGATCCCTGGTGTTGGCCCCTCCCAGACTCCTTCCCCATGGGCGGACATCAATGTGCCCATATTCCCCCACTTCACCCAAATCCTCCTCAGCACGCACACAATCACACACCACACAAATACAAATACACTCAACGCACACCACACACATGCCCCACACAAATAATCACATGCACCACACAAACACCTCACAGAAATACACAATCACACACACCACACACACATGCCCCACACAAATATACAATCACACACAGCACATACACACCACACACACCCCCCACAGAAATACACACTCAACACCACATCTAAATGCATATGCATGCCCCCTACACATAATCACACACCACAAACACACAACACACCACACACATGCCCCACAAATACACAATCACACACACCACACGCCCCTCACACAATCACACACACCATACACACACCACACACACACGCCCCACCCAGATACACACACACACGCCCCACAGAAATACACACACACACCACACTCAATATACCACACACGCCCCACATACACAATCACACACAACACATACACACACCACACATGTACCCATACAAACACATACGCCACACACATCACACACTATGCAAATACATACACACCCAACACACATCACACACACGCACATGCCCCACACAACAAATACAAACAATAACAACCATACACCACAGACAAATTAACGTAACATATCACATACCATACACCTACCACACACCACACAAACCACACCAATACTGCAACCCACAAATCACCACACAATCACACAATCAACACACAACAAATACAGATAAATACCACCACCAGGTACATTCAACGTACACCACACACACACCCCCACATACACAGACAACACATACCACATACACTATCACACACCACACAAATACATCCACACTCAATACACACCACACATCCCAATACACACACACCACACATATAGCACACCACCACACATACAAACACAAAATGCACACAACAAACACATTAACACACCAACACATTAACACGCCAGATACACAACATACACCACAAACACCCCACATACAAACACATTCAACACACACCATATACATTATCACACACCACATACACACACTCAACACACACCACACACAAATACACATTCAACACACACCATTAACCCCAATACCCAATCACATGCTACAAAAATACAGTCAACACACACCATGTAAACATACACTCAACACACACTACACAAACACACGTACACAACACACCAAATATACAATCATACAACATACACCCACACATTCAACACACACCACATACACACATACTCAACATACACCATAAACTCAACCACACCACACACACAAATACACAACACACCCATTCAACATACCCCCCAACACAAATACGCACATTCAACACAAAACCACACACAATCACACACCACACACTCAACACACACCACACACACATGCCCCACACAAATACACTCAACACACACATCCACACACATGCCCCATACAACACACTCAACACATACACACAACCCACACACACACACAACACATATATGCTCAGCACACACCACACAAATACACACACCACACATACACAATCACATATCACACACACCACATACACACTGAACGCATACCACACACATACACCACATACACTGAACACATACCACACATAATACGCCACACCAAATACACACCACACACGAACACACACAAATCACACACACCACAAATACACTCAACACACATGCCACAAAAATGCACATACCACACACCACATACACACACTCAACACACACACCACACAAAACACACACCACACAAATACTAAACACACACCACACAAATACATCCACACACCCACAAATACACAGCCACACACACCACACACTCCACGAAGCTTCCAGAAACGCCCATATCCCTGCATCCCAGACTTCATCACCAGTCCCTCCTGGAAGGCAGCTGTCAAACTGTGGTTTCTGCTCCGCCCAGGACACTGACAGACCCCCAGTGCCATCTGTCCCTCCGATTCTTGCACAGGCACCCAGGGGGCCCTCACTGTGCAGTCCCTCACACTGCAGCATCAGCCCAGGTCCCCTCGCCCTGCCCCTGTCCATCAGACGCCTCACCAGTTGACCCCAGGGCCCAGCAAAGCTGCGTTCTCCTCTCTGTGTCACCAACACGGGAGGACATGGCAGCCGGGTGACCCAGGAGCGGGGCACCACAGCAGACTGTGTTTCTAGGCCCCTGGGCTCTCACCCACGGATCAGCTCCAGGGCTCAGTAAATGTTTGCCAAATATACAAATTCCCAAAACTGCATCGAAAGCTGCCATTTGTGCAAAGCAGCCACCCTGTGCCTCTCCCTCCCTGCTGGCCAAGGGAGCCGCCACAGAGCGTCTGAGGGTCGCACTGCCCAGGGTTTCCCTGCCTCAGCGTTTTTGGCAAGATCCTTTGTTGTGAGCTGCCCTGCGCACTGTGGGATGCTGAGCAGACACCGGGCTTCCACCCAGTAGGTGCCAGGAGCACCCCTCCCCACCAAGGTGTCTCCAGACATTGCCAATGACATTCCCTAGGGCGAACACCCTCCACTCTCCACCCCTGCCAGGTAGAGATTCACTGGCCAGGGCTCACAAAATGAGACTTTCAGGGGTGGGCCTCAGGCCTCCGCATGTGTCTGGCTTCACTCAGGTGACCCCAATGTGCAGCCCAGGTCGGGGGGTGAGGGAAGCACACAACCTCCCCCGGGAAAGCCAGGCGTTCTCACCTCTTCCCAGCTGGGAACGGACAAGGCATGGTCATCTGCGAAGACAGGAGGCGGCCATGGGGAAATCTATGCCCCATGGGTGCCACCCTCAGGACAGGGCAGGGCTGGGAGGGGACAGTCCCCTCCCACAGCTCCAACCATGGCAGGACAGTGGGAGGTGGCATCTGCCAGGGCTGAACACAGCAGAGGTGGTGCTGTGCGAGGCTCCCCTGTCCACACCCCACCCCACCCGCAGCGTGACCTCAGCCCAGAGCCATCCTCACCTGGGCCATAAGAGGGGCAACGTGATAGACGCTACGCTGAGTCCCAGCCTAACACTGTTTGCCTGCCTTCTATAAAGTGAAACATCATCCATACAACCACTGCCCTCAGTTTCGTTTTGGCTTAAGATTTGATGGGCTCTGTCCATATCCACGCAACCGCATGGTATGTGTCCTTCACGCACTGCGTCTGTGGTGTGCGTGCTTACGATGCTGGACATTTTCATGATCACTTGAATGGCTACATGACATTTCATCCAGTTTACTTCTCACAACTCACTTTGCTATTTTTGACACTGTAGATAATTTAGTGATGGAATCTTTAGTAATGTAGATTTTTTTCTTCTGTCAAATCTCTTTATCATGAATTCTTAGGAATGGGACCACTAGAGCCACGGGCTTTGTGAAAGGCCACACCTTACAGCGCTGTGGCATCAGATCACCATAGGCCACACCTTTATAGTGCTGTGGCATCGGACTGCCACACTCCCCCCAACTTGGGTCTCCTGAACAGCATAGGTGAGCCTCTTCCCAGGTGGGTGCTAAAGAACACAGGTGACCCTCCCTCCCAGGCAGGGGCTGAATAGCACAGGCAGCCTCCCTTCCAGACAGACGTTAAATAGCACAGGTGAGCCTCCCTCCCGGGCAGGTGCTGAACAGCACAGGTAAGACTCCCTCCCGGGCAGGTACTAAACAGCACAGGTGAGCCTCTCTCCTCGGTAGGCGCTAAACAGTACAGGCGAGTCTCCCTCCCAGGCAGGTGCCGAACAGCACAAATGAGCCTCCCTCCCTGGCAGGTACTAAATTATACAGGTGAGCCTCCTTCCCAGGCAGGTACCAACTAATACAAGTGAGCCTCCCTCCCAGGCAGGTGCAAAACAGCAGCCATGAGCACCCCCCGCTGGGCAGGTGGCTCCACCAGTCCTGCAGCCCCAAGGAAGGCAATGGTGCTGCCAAGAGCGTCAGCTTTCTCCCTCACAAGCCCCTCTTGACCATGGAGAGAACCTACTTCACACCACTCCCCAGCTGTCCCGGACAACTCTGCCACACCGAGGGCGGCTTCTCCCACAGCCACCCACTCACTGCCAGTTAGGGAACCCAGATGGGCACGGGGTCCCAACAATGCTTCTCTCTCCAATACCCCTGCTGCCGAGGAGGTCTAGGTTTATGTCTGAATAAATGAGCCACTGAGAACAGCTGCCTACTAGGGTCTGATGAAGGGAGAGGGGCACACGGCGCCCAGGGATGGAGAGGGGGTGAGTGGGGGAGGCTGGTGGGCTGCATTTTGCCTGAGGGCCTGGACGTGAGCCTCTGCTATTCTGTAGCACAGTATTTATGGTCAGAGACAGCACAAGGAACACGACGATGAGCTACACCAGCACCTGGTCACACCACAAGGGACAGGCACCACAACAGGTCCTATGGAGGGAGTCTCAGAAAAACCCACAAGACTGTAACATTTTAAAACTTTCCCCCACATTGTACGAATTCTTGGTTTGTCGAAGGAAGATACACATTCTCTTAACTTCAATACTATAAATAAGTATAAGAGCATGCAAATCATATATGATGCAAACGAGCTCCATTTCAAGGTTTTTATCCTGTCTTTTCAGTCTAAAATGGGTAACCTTTGAAACTAGAGCGTCTCAGGGGAAGAGGTGGTGTGATGCAGGTCCCTGGCGCTCTTCAGGTTCTAGGTCACTAACGAAGGCCAGCGCCTGGCCTAACAGCACCTCTGGCTGACAGGAAGCCACTGCCGCTTAGCCGCTTCTAGTACTTTGTTTTATTTGGGTCCAGAGAAATAGTTAAAAATAACAGGAGGCAATGCCTCTTCCTCAACCTTGAGTCTGCCTCACCAAAGCGCCTTGGATGCATCACTCTTAGGAAGCCCAACACGCTCGCCCGCTACACTCCCGCGGGACTGCGGGGACCCCAAGGGGAGGTTCGCAAACAAGATGAAGGTTCATCTGTCTGGCTGGGGCTGCACTAAGTGGAAGTCTTCAGGGGGCTGAGCCCCAGATTTCTTGGGAATTCTTGTGATAGGAGGGCTTAAAATGCAGGAGGTGTGGCACACTGGAAATTCATCCAGAAGCTTCTGGAGGCCACCTCATGCCAGACATGGATCCTTCAGAGCCACTAAAGCTCAGGCAAAACATGACCCTTTCCTGCCCCTCGGAACAGTCCAACCCGGGGAAGAAGGCATCAGGGAGGAAGAACCAAGCCCTGATTTCAAATAGGAGCCCTTGGAGTAGAACTAGCCAACCCCACTAAGGGCCCCCCGCCCCCAGCAGCCGTGGCAGGGGAGCAGAGCCTCTCACATGGCTCACGTGTGGCAGCCCTGGCCAGAGCCCCTGGGAGTCCACTGCTGTGGGTGCCCTGTTCTCAACACAGGGGCGGGTGGTACCTTAACAAGAACAACACAGAGATGCAAGTGACAGACACAGAGGCGGGCAGACAAGGACGGGGTGGGCGTCGAAGGCTAACCTGGTAGGTCTCTAAGCCGACTGCCGCCGGGCCCCCCCTCTCCAGGGTGTGCTATGAGTCCTAGAGAGAGGGGGACACAAAGGCAACAGTGACTCACCCCTCTGTGCCCCGCTGGGGACCCCACTGCTTGGGCCTCCAGTGCCACCCACCACTGGGAATGGGGAAGGCGTGACTCCCACATCCCAGAGGCTGCACATCATCACTGAAGAATACGGCACATCATCACTGAAGAATACGGCACATCATCACTGAAGAATACGGGGGCATCCTCGGGCCACGTGGAGAAGCAAGCGCAGCTGGCCTTGGCCTCCTTGTGGTGTCTGCTTTTCTTTGGTCTGTTTACTTGCTAGCAGCAAATTCGGTCAGAGCGACAGGGGCCTCAGACGCCCCCCAGGCCCAAAGAAGCCACCTCTCCACTACCGGCTGGTCCAGGCACACCCGGCTTCAGGCCTCACACAAGGAAAATGCTTTATTTTTGGAGACTGGTGCACACAAGCAGGCTCAGAACAAAAAGGATGTGTGCAGGGGCAACCCCGTTCCACCCTGGACGACGCAGGAGACGTGGATGGAGGAGGGCTCGCGGTTAGGAACAACCTTTGCAAGCAAGTGAGCCAGCGCTCACACTCCTCCAGCCATTATCCTGACCTTTTCCTTTCTTCCTCAGACGGCCCTAGAAACATCGGACACTGCTGCTCCCTGCTTTTAGCCAGAACGGCCCCCAGCTTTACAATGCTCTCCAATGTGGGGCCGTACGCAGCTCGGCTGACAAATGCCGGAAGAAAATCAATCCCTTTTAACTGGAAAGTTTGCATCTGTGTATCTTTAGGATAACAATGCTTTGAAGCAAAATGGACAGAGGGAAATGTTAAAAGTGAGGCTGTCTATTGGTGAAAACAATCTACTTTGGCCTAAAGTTCCCCAGCCTCTGCAGCGTATCTGAGAATCCGCACTGCACAGGGGCCGAGGGGAGACCTGACCGGCGCCCTCACCTGTCCTGCAGTTGTGGAACTCCAGCGCGCTCTCGATGCGGAAGGTCTTCTCACAAGTGCCGCACCGGTACCTGTACTCGCCGTCCACCTGGTCAGAGGGACACGCCGTGAGTGAGACGGCCCAGCACACAGTCCACAGAGGCCGAGCCCCCGACGCGCTGCCCGGGCGACTCCACGCCTGTGTCTGTTACGACTCTGACCTCCACCACCCTCCCGCTCTGTTTAGGAACACAAAGGATGCGTGCTCTTGCTGTTCACCTGCCTAGAAAGGGAACCCCACAACTCAGGGAGCCCCACTCCCAGCGCCTAACACTTCCATTCTCCTGAGTCTTCCTGCTGTGCTTGTGGGCATCTGACTGGGACCAGGGGCTGGCAGGTGGCCCAGGGATGCCTGGACACCCACAGCCCTCACCTCCTCTCATCTCTCCTGGGACTCTCTTCTCAGGGACGCCTGGGCACCCAGAGCCCTCGCCCGCTCTCCTCCCTCCCTCACAGCCCTCGCCCGCTCTCCTCCCTCCTGGGACTCTCTTTTTTCAGGGACGCCTGGGCACCCACAGCCCTCCCCCACTCTCCTCCCTCCCCCACTCTCCTCCCTCCCCCACAGCCCCTGCCCACTCTCCTCCCTCCCCCACTCTCCTCCCTCCTGGGATTCTTTCTTCTCATTGCAACATGGTGATTTGGTCAGTTGTCTGCCTCATCCACACAACTGGGAAGAGAACCCTGGGCTTATTTCCACCCACCTCGTTCCTGCTATGCTTGTAAGACACGTGCTGCTTTAGGCTCTCTTTGCGGCTGAACAATTTTGCACACTCTTCGCACTTAAACAGCTTGTCACCTGAGGAACCAACCAACCGAGAGCTCATTCACCACTTAGAGCATTTACTGAGAGAAGCATGCCCACGGGGGAAACGCCCCCCCAGCCGCCTTACTCCCTCCGTGCAAAGGGGCTGCAGAGATGATCGCCCACCAACCGCAGCCTCTCACTGGCGCAGCTCATGGGAGACGACCCAAGGAGAGGAGACTCTATGCTGTCCTCCCACCCCCGGCCCCGGGCACCGGCCAGGCCATGCAGACTCACCATGCGAGCGCACGTGCCTGCTCAGGTTGCTGCTGTTCTGGAAGATCTTGCTGCAGATGTTGCACTGGTAAACCCGCTTGTGCTCCCCGAGCTGTTTGATGAGCTTGCGCCGGATGCCGTGTCTGCTCGAGAGAATTAAGCTCCTCTTGAGTGTGATGGTGTTATTCTGATGATGGGTGAACCTGCCCGGGGACGTCAATAAGTTGGGAAAAGACAGGTGGGAAAAAAGTTCCAGGTTACAAGCAGCATGGAAATGGCCTCCTTCCAAAACTTCCCAGCTAATCCCGAGCCTGTACCGAGAAAGGAGGGAATGTGCCCGGGCGTCACTCCCAGCTTCCAGGGCACCCGAAAGGGACGCCTTGAATATATAATGACATTAGGCAGCTTTAGCTGTAACAGCCACACACCTGACTGTGTTCTAACTCTGGCCACCAGAAAGCCTGGAGGTCAGTTTGTGCCTCAATTAGAATAACCACATCTGTTTTCTGCTCTTGTCACTCTGTCTTAACTCTCCTCTGTTTTACATATTATCTGTACCTGATTTTTAAAACTTCTTTTCCCTATTAAATGTATTTTTGATGGTAAGCCACCTGAACTCTTCTGGGCAATAAGATAAACTATAAATAAATAAACAGGTAACATCATTTCTGACATTATTTTGCCAACTATAAGAGGTGATCCAAAAAGGGTCCCAAAAAATGACCACCAACTTATTCAACTCCAGGGTAAAAATAACCCAAGAATCATAACTAAAACACAGGGCAATCTGTTAAATTCACTGAAATTCAAAGAGCAAAGTGTTTTATCACAGCAGCATTGCGAAAGCTAGAAGCAACCCAGCTGTCCATCAATGGATGCACAAAAGATGGGGCATATGCACCATGGAATATTACTCAGTGTTGAAAAGGAAGGAAATTCTGACACAGGCTACATGTGGATGAGCCAGGGTGGAATAAGCCAGTCATATAAGGACAAATTCTGTCTGATTCCACTTCTATGACATCTCTAGAGTCATCAAATCCAGAGACAGAAAGTAGAATGGTGGGTGCCAGAGGCTGGGGGAGGGGGCTGGGGCGGGTGCTTAATGGGGACAGTGTTTCAGCTTGGGGAGATGGGAAAGTGCCACAGATGGCTGGGGGAGATGGTTGCCCAACAGTGTGACTATCCTGAATGCCACTGAATTGTGCACTTAAACATGGTTAAAATGGTTAAATTTATGCCATGCGTATTTAACCACAATAAAACGTTTCTTTAAAGCTGTTTTCACAGTGGATGCACCATTAAACTCCTGAGTTCCAGAACATTCCTGCTGCTTCCTCAGCAGGTCCGTTTCCACCTCCTCTCCTGGGGCCTTCCTGCTGGGAAGGTGCCTTCCCTCCAGAATGGCCTGGCTGCTGCCAGCACTGTCTGTCCACAGGATGGCCCCAGGTGCCAGGCAGGACTTACTTTGGAACCGAGCTGGTGTCAGTGGTGGTGGTGGCCAGCTTCCCCAGAACCAGCTCCATGATCCGCTCATCCGGTGTTGCACTCACAGGCTCATCCGGAGGGACCTCGGTAATGATCTCTGCCACTTGCTCTGTACGAAGGGGATATGACAAGCCAAGTCACCACAAGAGCAGGGGACAAACACAGCCAAACCATGGTGACACATCGCCCCATGGGGACCACAGCCAGGCCACAGCGGTAGGCACAAATGTTGAGGTTTACACAGGGGAAAAAAGAAAAAAAACTGGCAATATTTTGGGATCCACACATTTACTAGTATACACAGAAAAGCAAAATGTTTTTCTTAGCCCAAACTGAAGTTATAATTTGTTATTCTTTTTTAAAACCACAACATCATAACATTACTTCAATCCCTCTTCATACCAACCAAAAATATTTTGGATATATAGCAGAAACTTAGAACTTATTTTCTGACAGAGATTTAGAAATGTTAATGCTTCTAATTAAATGTGCTAACATGAGTATAACCATTTTAGCTAACCATTTTGTACAAAAGTCAAAGATCACATCATCGCCAATACTAGAGACCCTGGCCAGAAACCTGAGACAAATGAAATAGAAGATTACACCAAAAAATTCAACCACTGGTTTCTAACACTTTGCCTACTAAATGTCTTCCCAACGCAAGTAAGAATTAGTGAAATATCTACCTGACCCGCTTTCCCCCACCCCCCATCTTCTATGCCTATTCACAGAGACGTGGGGAAACTGGCCAGGAGGCTTTCAGGTGCTCCTAAATCAGCGCCCAGCAGTGCAGAGCCGAGAAGCTGCAGACCCAGAGTGGAAAAGGGGAGGCTCAGAATATTCCACGATGGCTGCTCTTCCCAATTCTCTCTAATTCATCGAAACAATAAGGACTTCTTTTCACTCTCACAAAAGAAATCCTGGTGTACCCCAGACAGTAAAAAGAAAAACTGCCCGGTGTCAGTAACAAAGGTGAAGGGGCCGGTGGCTGAGCATCAGATCTCGTCCTCACTGTGAGGCCCACCAGGTGTGTGCTGCAGGTGGCTTGGATGGGGGCTGTGTGAGGACCACAGGGACAAGAGCCTTGCAGGGACCACACACCCTGGAAGAGGGTCAAATGCCTCTTCAAACCCAACTGAGGATGCCGCACAATCAAAGGATGAGGGGCCTGGGAGTGACTCAGCGCCCACCCACAGGTGACAGACCAAGCACTGTTCAGCGATCAAGGAGAAGGAGTCACAGATAAACCATGTGGGCGGGTCTCCAGCCTGTATGCTGCCTGAAAGAGGCAGAGTCCATTCATGAGAAATTCCAGGATGGGTGGAATGAACTGGTACAGAAGACAGTCAGGAAAGTGGCTAACGAGACGGAAATGTCCTCTACCCTGACGGGGGTGCTGGTTTCACAGTTGTATCCATTTGTCAAAATCCACAACCTGTATCCTTTTTAGTGTGAAATGTATTACATGGAAATTGTACTTTACTAGAGTTGATTGAGAGAAAAACAGAAGGGCTTAGAGTCTACCTTCCACGAGGCCTTTTTACACTGAGTTTTCCTGCCCTGCCCTCTGCCCCCTGTCCCGCCAGCCCTCAGGTACCAGGAGGGCTGCACCCCACGCAGGTACTCATCCCAGGAATCCACTCATCACCTGCGGGTTCCTTGTCTTCCACGATGACTAGAGGCTGCTCAGCTTTGGACGCTTTGGGTTTTCTCCCCCTTCGAGGCTTTTTCTTCTGTTCTTTGGGGGCAACATTCTCGTTCTCGGGCACTGCAGGGGGGTCCCCCCGGGGTGTGTCCTGCTCCTTCTCGGGAGCTGCTGCCTCGCTCTGGCTGCCTGGAGGAAGGCTTTTGGCTTGTTCCAAGTGGCCCAAGAGATGTTCTGCAAAGAGAGATGCAAAGGCACCATGCAATTAGGAAACCTGCCACCGTCCACACCTGCCCTGGCCTCTGGTTCCCATATGTGTTTGTTTTCAATCTCATTTGCCAACCTTTGTATAGGCAAGTGAACTTCATTTCTACTGTGTTATTTCCTCTGCATCCAACACAATTGCTATTTTTAAAAGTAAATTAAGTGGTAAAAGCAATGGTAGGTTCACCATGAGGGCAGTTTAGTGAAAAAAGCAGACACACACACGTCTACAAAGCAAAAACCTGAGAAGGAGGTATCAAAATATGAACGTGTCCAGGCACGGTGGCTCACGCCTGTAATCCCAGCACTTTCGGAGGCTGAAGCAGGTGGATCATGTGAGGTCAGGAGTTCAAGACCAGCCTAGTAAACATGGTGAAAACCCGTCTCTAATAAAAATACAGAAAGTTAGCTGGGTGTGGTGGTGTGCATCTGTAGTCCCAGCCACTGGGGAGGCTGAGGCAGGAGAACTGCTTGAACCCGGGAGGCAGAGGTTGCAGTGAGTGAGATCGCACCATTGCACTCCAATCTGGTGATACAGCAAGACTCTGTCTCAAAAAAAAAAGAAAAGAAAGAAAGAAAAGAATTGTGCCCTAGAACCGTGAAAGCCCTGGGAGACGTAGCAGAAGCAAAATCAAAACACTATGTAACACTGCTTCCACAATCCAGAGTGCACGGAAGGACCACTGTGGGGGCGGGGGAAAAAGAAGATTCCTTGCTAAAGAGCTTACCAAAACAACAACAAAAGCAAGAAAAGCCCCAGGAAAACTAAAAAATTAAGCAATGAGCCATCAGGGTGTCAGCAGACACATACACACACACAAACTCAGGAAGAATGGAATTCCTAGATAATAACACAAGTTGAGAGGAGAAAACTGGGGGAAAATACATTTAAATGAGTAAAGAAGTGAAAAAAAAAACATAAAAAAGGCAAATATAACAAGCTGTTATGAAAAATAACCAAATAAAACTTATATAAAATAGAGACCCAAAATAAAAACACAATGTATGGATTAAACAGAAAATTAGACACAACTGAAGAGAGAACTCATAAACTAAAATGAAGAGCTGCAAAGATTACCCAGAATGTAGAAAAGTGACAAGGAGCTAGAAAAATATGAGCAGGAGCTAAGAAGACATGAAGTGTAATATAACAAGAAGGTCTAAAACATGTACGATAGGACAAAGAGAGAATAGGGAAGGAGGGCTAAACAATGGGCAAGATAAGGGTAGGGGATTATCCAGAATGAATGAAAGACATGAATCTTCAGATTCAAGATCTGAACAGGGAAAACAAATAAAAATAAAGACATAAATGATGACTCTGTTATAAATTGCAGAACTCCAAAGACAGAGGAGGTTTCAAAAGCAAACAAGTACAAGGCAGCGATTACTTATGAAGGAACAATTGTAATGACAGCAGACGTATCAAGGGCAACAATGGAAGAAAGCAGCATAACAACATCCTCACTGTGCAGAAAGAGAATAAGAATAAATCAAAAATTCAGTGAAAACCATTTCCAATGCAAATGGTTAAAAAAAGACATTTTGAGACAAAGACTGAAAAGATGGCCACTAGCAGGCCTGCCCCAGAGGAAATTCTGAAAGGCAGTAAGAGTGATTTTAGATTGAGGGTCAGAAATATAAAACAAAGGGAACTAAAGTCAAAAAAAAAAAAAAAAAAAAAAGCCATACATAAGGAAATTAGCAAACATCATTCTAGACAATTATAAATTCAAACAGGAAAAACAGAGCAAATTCGAAAATATTTAGAATTAAACTGTGGGAGGAAGACAGCCCACACATCAAAGAGATGTATATATACTCTACCTGTTAGATGAAGCATTTTAAATATACTTATTAAATCAATTGTGTTAACTGTGTGCTTCAAATCTATATTCCTGTGATTTTTAGCCTGATTTATCAATTAAGATGTATATATTAAAAGCCCCCACCATGGAGGCAGATTTTTCTATTTCTCCTTGTAGATCTGCCAATTTTTGCCTATTATTAGACTATGTTATTAAGTGCATATAAATTTAGATGCACTGTATAATCAAAACGTGGAATGCAGCTAACATGGTTCTTAGGAAAAAATCATCCAAAATGCTTACACGAGAGAATAAAACAGCTGGAAATTAATGAGTTAAGCATCCAACTTGTTAGAAAGACACAGAATGAAAAGTGTAAAAACGAAATAATAAATAAGAGCAGAAATAAAAGTAAATATACAATAAAAAGGATCAACAAAGCCAAAAGTGGGTGCTTTGAAAAGACGAATGATATTGGTAAGTCTGGCAAGAAAAAATAGAGAATGCACAAATAACCAGTCCTAGCTGCAAAACAGAAAACAGCAGCCGTCTGTAACTACTCGTCCCCACCTATTATTGCCTTTCCATTTTTCAGTATTAGACAGCATCTATTATTTAATATGGAGGACAAGGATTTAGCTTTCTTATAGACTATACTCTCCCTCCCAAACGCTTAGCTTCTCCACAATCCCACCAACATATTTATATCACTATTTTGGGGTAAATCAATAATCAGTGGATTCATAATTATGACCATAAAAATGTATTCACAACTGCACCAATATATGTTTATGATTCGTTTTTTGGTTTGTTTGTTTTTGAGATGGAGTCTCATTCTGTCGCCAGGCTGGAGTGCAGTGGTGCGATCTTGGCTCACTACAACCTCCACCTCCAGAGTTCAAGCAATTCTCCTGCCTCAGCCTCCTGAGTAGCTGGGAGTACAGGCAGGCACCACCATGCCCAGCTAAGTTTTGTATTTTTAGTAGAGACGAGGTTTCACTATGTTGGCCAGGATGGTCTTGATCTCTTGACCTCATGATCCGCCTGCCTCAGCCTACCAAAGTGCTGGGATTACAGCCGTGAGCCACTGGGCCCGGTCTTTATTTATTTATTTTTTTTGAAACGGAGTCTCACTCTGTCGCCCAGGCTGGAGTGCAGTGGTGCAATTTCGGCTCACTGCAACCCTTGCTTCCCAGGTTCAAGCCATTCTCCTGTCTCAGCCTCTCAGGTATCTGGGACTACAGGCACACATCATCATGCCTGGCTAATTTTTGTATTTTTAGTAGAGATGGGGTTTCACCACGATGGCCAGACTGGTCTCAAATTCCTGACTTCAGGTGAACAACCTGCCTTGGCCTCCCAAAGTGCTGCCATTACAGGTGTGAGCCACCATGCCTGGACCAATTCTTTTTTTTTTTTTTTTTTTTTTTGAGACAGAGTCTCGCTCTGTCCCCCAGGCTGGAGTGCAGTGGCTGGATCTCAGCTCACTGCAAGCTCCGCCTCCCCGGTTCACGCCATTCTCCTGCCTCAGCCTCCTGAGTAGCTGGGACTACAGGCACCTGCCACCATGCCCAGCTAGTTTTTTGTATTTTTTTAGTAGAGACGGGGTTTCACCATGTTAGCCAGGATGGTCTCGATCTCCTGACCTCGTGATCCGCCCGTCTTGGCCTCCCAAAGTTCTGGGATTACAGGCTTGAACCACCACGCCTGGCCCTTTTTTTTTTTTTTTCTAAGTATATATATATAACCTTCATTTTCTCTGGAGTTAATTATTGCCTTACTTTTTATTAATAACATTTGCTTACTTTTTTCTATGTTTTTATTACTAATTGATCCCTAAACTCTGCCAGAAGTATAACTCTTTCGTCTACAAACATATCAGTTAATGCTCTATTTCCTTCTTTTCTTTTCCTTTTTGAGCCATTATTCCTGGAGCCCTTGCTGCTGCTCCAATCTGGACCAGGTGTCTGTCCTTGAACTAGGGAACATCTCTTGTCCTACAATCTCCTTCACCAGCAACCTGGGCATTCCCTTTGCTCCTTTCCCGCAAAGGATCCTCTCTTGTATCCTACACGCAGTGGACGTGTGCCATCTTTTCTGGCCATCCAGAACTGTGAAACATCCTTGTGATGTTTTGCTAACTTCTGAGCCCCACCTTTCCCAAAACACTCCTTTCCCAAACTGGCCCAGCACAATCCATCTCAAGAGGAACACACAACCCCTCAGCCTGAAAAAGAGAAACACAGCCCCTCCCATCTCAGGGAGGTCACACAGCCCCTCCCATCTCAGGGAGGTCACACAGCCCCTCCCATCTCAGGGAGGTCACACAGCCCCTCCCATCTCAGGGAGGTCACACAGCCCCTCCCACCTCAGGGAGGTCACACAGCCCCTCCTATCTCAGGGAGGTCACACAGCCCCTCCCATCTCAGGGAGGTCACACAGCCCCTCCCCCCTCACAGGGACACACACACACACACACACACACACACACACACACACGCAGCCCCTCCCCCCTCACAGGGACACACACACAGCCCCTCCCTGCTCACACGCCCGCCGCCTTTGGGGCTGCTCCTCAGTCTCCTCCTTCCTGGGCTCGGCTTCCCAGTCCTGGGCTCCTGAACCATGGATTTTCTTGAGAAGCCCCCCAGCGAGAGGCTGCCACAGAAGGCAGAGCTGTCACCTGGAAGGAATGCTCGGGACTCCTCTGGTAATCTGGGTGGCAGAGGCTGGGCTGCCCGAGTACCTGACTCCAGCCCTCAAGGCAGCCGTCCTGTGGGCAGGGACTCCTGCCTCTGTTTACTCATCCCTGAAATGGGTCACGGTTGTATTGCATGGTGTTGATACAAGGCAGTGTCTGCAGGACCTGGCAATGAGGGGTCTTAGTCACCATCAGCCTCACTGTAAGGGGAGCCCGAGTACCACGCCTTACGTAGTTGATGACATACAAGTAGAATTTGACTGAAAATATGAAGGAATTTCTTTTTTCTTCACTCAAAACTAGTTATCAGGAAGAAAAACAAATGAGCAGCATCTGTCTGGCTTTGTGGAGGGGACCGCCCAGTGCAGGCAGCACCCTCCCGCTGTGCAGCACCTACCATGGGTCTCCATGAGGTCCGCGGTGTGCTCTGCACAAACGTGGCATTTCTAGAAAACCCAACCGCCTGCTCTGCTATTTATGTCTTGGTGACAAACACAAAATGCTTCTCACCAAGCAGAGGGCAAAGTGACACGTGCGTAAATTCATTACAGCCAAGATGAGTAGGAGGTCTCAGGAACGTGTGACCAGGTAGCTAAAGTCTGCTGGTATCAGCATAGTGGCTGTCCCAGTCACTCCTCACAACCGCACTGCCTGGAACCCTACCAGGCCTGGGGCCTCTAAGCATGTTCCACATGTGACAAACGCCACAAACTGTTTCCATGCGACTCCCCCATGGTTTATTTGACGCGAGTCTTTCTTCACTACACATTAGCCTCATAAGAGGCTTGTAGAAAAATCAGCTCCCTAAGACAAATAAACAAAGTTCCCAGGGCACTGCAGAAGCTGGAAATGTGTTCAATTCTTTCCCAGCTGCCTTAAATTGGTATGTCAACCTGAGTAGATAAAAATGTTTTGCAGGCCGGGCGCAGTGGCTCACGCCTGTAAACCCAGTACTTTGGGAGGCCGAGGCAGATGGACTGCTTGAGCCCAGGAGTTTGAGCCAGCCTGGGTGAAACCCTGTCTCTACAAAAAATATACAAAAATTCGCTGGGCGTGGTGGCACATCCCTGTGGTCCCAGCTACTCAGGAGGCTGAGGTGGGAGGATCGCTTGAGCCTGGCAGGTCAAGGCTGCAGTGAGCCATGATCATGCCACTGCACTCCAGCCTGGACAACAGAGCCAGACCTTGTCTCAAAAAAAGAAAAAAAATGTCTGGCAGATAAAGAAACGGTGGAAGGGGCCGTCAAGCGGAAACAACATAGGCAAGACGGCACAACAGATGCCATGGCTGGCTCCTGGCCCCTGCCAGCGCCAGAGTCAAGGCGCCCAGCTGAAATGCAACTTCCACAACCAGGAGGAGTGAGGCCTGCGGGGGTTGGGGGTGGGAAGCGGGACTGCCCAGAAGCTTTAAACCCCGAGAAAGCCTTGGTTCTGGCGACTACACTGTGGGGCAGTGGGGCAGACAGGGCAAAGCTGGGGACATCCCGACAGCCGCAGACAGGTGACAGCGTAAGTCAGAGGGAGCTCGACACAGGAGTTTTACAATGGGGGCTCCCCACACGTCTTCCTTACCGTTGAGGAGCTGCAGCTCCAGGAAGGTGGCGGAACACACTTTACACGCCCACTGGCTGGGCTCCGACTCCACGGGGGCGCTGTTTTCCGGGGTGCCTGCAGCTTCAAAAGACATGAGAGGAGAAGAAGGTGACCCCCAGGCAGCTCATGTCTCCCCGAATCCCGGCCCGGCGGAGAAGGGGTGTGTGCTGAGAGGTGGTGATGACAGTGATGACAGCAGCTGATGGGCCTGTGGTCACTCCACATGACAGACACCATTTTCAGAGCTTTACACACATGGTTGATTCGGCCATGTGACTGTCCCCTTTGCACAGATGAGGCAACTGAGCACAGAGACATGCCTGCTGCAGGGTCACCAGTCGCAGAGCTGAGAACTCCTCCAAGAAGCCAGTCCAGAGGGACCAGGTTTGTCCCTTACATGACTTCACGAGAAAAATGCATCCTAAAGAACCAAGCGTAATTCCCCTAGCTCTCACTGGCTCATAGAATAAGAGACAGTGGAACCCAAAACAGCCAGCCAGTGGCGCCCCCGTGTGTGGCTGGGCTGCTGCTCCCGCCCAGCGCTGTCCAGCAGACTTTCTGTGGATGACTGACGTTCTCCATAGCTGGTATCCAGCAAGGCAGCCGGTAACCAGATGTGGCTCATGTTCCAGGAAGTAAGTGTTTAATTTTACTAAATTTGAACTTAATTTTACACAGACACCTGAGATAGGGGGCCACTATCCCAGGAAGCACCTCTATCCCTCAGCCCACACCACACAGGAATCTGGGGAGAGAGAGCTAGGCTGAGAGTACATGACATGTGGTGTAAACCTGGCTATAAAGAGAACTACAGGCACCTTTTAACAAAAAAGTCACTGATGCTCTTGTGCAACCTAAAACTGGGAGGCATTTTAAGTGAGCGTGCCACAATCTGGCCCAGGCCAGTTTCTCTACAATTCATCTGGCAGCTCTATGGGCCAGCCCACGGCAGGACCCCTGCCCATCACTTTGACTCTAATCATGATACAGCCTGGATTGAAGTTCATCACCCACGGCAAACTCTAGGGGCCACTCCCAAAGACAAACTCTCCTGGGTCTTTAAAAAATAATCCAGAACTACAACTGCACATGCATTCAGCGCTAGAAAAAAACATGTATCTTTTCATATCCAAAACCAGCACTAAAGATGCAATGAATAAAAGGAAAAGATAGAGATTACTGCTATCACCGTTTGCAAGCATGTTCTGAGTTTTCATAAGATAACAAGAAGAGGTATAAATGTAACATGAAATTTTTTGTCATACTAAAAATAAAGAAAGAGCAGAAAGAGCGTATGTGTGCGGGGGGAACCCTGCCAGCAGGGCACTTTTCCGGGACATCCCGTCCCCACCAGCTTCTGCTCCCTTTTACGCTTGCTCTCTGAGAATCCACTGCTTGAAGAATCCCAAAATATCAAGGACAAATGGAAATCAGAACCAAATTCCCATTTCTCACTCACCTTCCCAAACATACACAGGTTCCAAAGAGAGAAAGACACTCACATATAAGTTTCAGAAAAAGAGGACAAGGGCCCAGGTTAGCTGAAAGCCACCACTTCTGAATAAGGAGAATTTCTTCTAATCCACGTGGGCCCTTGTCTCCGGCAATAAGCCTCCACACCCCCACAAGCGCCGGTTCTCCTCAACTTGGTGCTCAGCTAAGTAAAGAAGACTAGAAAAACTTGTCATGATGACTATCCGCTCATCAAGAGAAGTACTCAGGATTTTCTGAATATTAATTGTAAAAGATAAGAATTCTTAAGAAAAAATATTAGTTAACAGGAGGCAATTCTTGACTGCCAATCATTTAAATATCCAACAAAAGAGAAGTGTCTCAACAAAATCTAACACCATACAGCTTTAAAGTGATGCCAGAGATAGTACCAGTAGGGAAAAGGCTTAAGATGTGGTGAGCCAGACTGTGCACGCAAAGAAAAGTAAGCAGTAAGATGGGAGGTGCAGCGAGAGCTCCGCTATGCAAAAATGCACAAAGCTACAGCACAGCAAACAGTCTGGCATTCCAGTGGGCAGGGCTGACTACAGGGCAGCACCAGAGAACTTCCTGGGATGAAGTCGAGGTCTGTAAGTCAACTGTGGTGGAGTTCAGACAACTGTAGACACTCAAAAGTCTCTAAACTGGCAGGGACAGTGGCTCACGCCTGTAATCCCAGCACTTTGGGAGGCCCAGGCGGGTGGATTACTTGAGGCCAGGAGCTCAAGACCAGGCTGGGCAACATGGCAAAACCCCGTCTCTACTAAAAAATGCACAAATTAGCTACGCGTGGTGGCATGCGCCTGTAATTTCAGCTTCTTGGGAGGCTGAGGCACGAGAATTGCTTGAACTCGGGAGGCAGAGGTTGCAGTGAGCCGAGATCACACCACTGCACTCCAGCCTGGGCAACAGACCCAGACTCCATCTCAAAAAAAAGCTCTGAACTGTATACTTAAAATCATTGAGTCTTACTGTATGTAAACTATATGTCATCAGTGCTGGTTTTTAAAATACAGGGGCCAGTGAGGTGGCTCATGCCTGTAATCCCAGCACTTTGGGAGGCTGAGGCGGGCGGATCACTTCAGGTCAGGAGTTCAACACCAGCCTGGCCAACATGGCGAAACCCCATCTCTACTAAAAATAGAAAAATTAGCTGGGAGTGATGGTACATGCCTGTAATCCCAGCTACTGGGGAGGCTGAGGCAAGAGAATTACTTGAACTGGGAGGTGGAGGTTGCAGAGAGCTGAGATTGGGCCACTACATTCCAGCCTGGGTGACAGAGCAAGACTGTCTCAAAAAAATAAAATTAAAATAAAATAAAAAATACAGGCCGGGCGCAGTGGCTCAAGCCTGTAATCCCAGCACTTTGGGAGGCCGAGACAGGTGGATCACGAGGTCAGGAGATCAAGACCATCCTGGCTAACACGGTGAAACCCCGTCTCTACTAAAAAAAAAATACAAAAAACTAGCCAGGCGAGGTGGCGGGCGCCTGTAGTCCCAGCTACTCGGGAGACTGAGGCAGGAGAATGGCGTGAACCCGGGAGGCGGAGCTTGCAGTGAGCTGAGATCGTGCCACTGCACTCCAGCCTGGGCGACAAAGCGAGACGCCGTCTCAAAAAAAAAAATAAAATAAAATAAAAAATACTAGAAAATGTGAATCATATGGCAACAACAGTTGAGTTAGAACAGTGATGCTCTGTGTGACTGAACAGTTTCCCCAATGTTATAAAATGTGTTTGTATTTTACTTTTTTCATCAGAAAGGTGATTTTGAAAATTTTCTCTCTTTGAAACCCAGGTGTGTTTCAGAAGGTGAGTGAGAAATGGGACTCTGGCTCTGATTTCCATTTGTCCATGATCTTGTGGGATTCTTCAAGCAGCAGCTTCTCAGAGCAAGTGTAAAAGGGAGTAGAAGCTGGTGGGGATGGGATGTCTCATAACAACGCTCTACTGGCAGGGTGCCCCCACCACACTCTCCTCCTGGGCCCCATGCTCTCTCCCATGAAGATCCAGGATGCTTCTTGGGCTGCCCCCTCCATCAGTCAGCAGGTTCAGGTTCTTGTAAAGAGAGAAAATCAATCTTAATGTGAGCTCAAAAAAAGATAAGGCCAGGCACAGTGGTTCACACCTGGAATCCCAGCACTTTGGAAGGTGGGAGGATTGCCTGAATCCAGGAGTTCAAGACCAGCCTAGGCAACACAGTGAGACCCATCTCTACTAAAAATTAAAATTAAAAAAATTAGCTGGGTGTGGTGGCACATCCCTGTGGTCCCAGCTACTAGGGAGGCTGAGATGGGAAGATCACTTGAGCCCAGGAGGGCAGCTGCAGTGAGCCACGATCATGCCACTGCACTCCAGCCTGGGCGAGAGTGCCAGACCCTATCTCAAAAAACAACAAAAAAAGAAAAGGAACTAGAAAAGTAAATCCACTACCAGAATAAAATAAGTAACTTTTAAAGGGATGTGTTACTGCTCCTTTAGTATAAAACCAAACTTTTCTCTGTATTTAGAAGACAGCTCTGCTGATTTGCAAAACTGACTGATTTCTATACAAAGATGTATGTTTGGAGCAAATGAAAGAGACAGAATTAAGTCAATGAGTCTTAGGAGCTCTCACGCTCACCAAGAAAGACTCGGCCACCATAATAAGTAATTTACAGGAAGACGGTTCCTGGGTTCGTCGGCCGCCAGTACGGTTCTAGGAGCACACCAATGGCCCTGGAGGCCACTCACATCACTCTGCCTACGCCCACTGGGCCAGAGGTGCAACAATGCCACCAAAGGCCTCCTTTCTTCCCATCACGTAGGAGCGTTCTCTCTGGGAGTGTCCACCCCAGAGGCCGTGTCGCTGAGCAGGAGTGGAATTACACAGTTACCCTAGAACTCCAGGCCTTCACGTGTCCAGTCTAAACAGTGAGAACTGGGCAAGTGGCCAGCTTTCCAGATGTTTCTAGCCTCTCTTCGAAGGTCTTGTTATCTATTGAGATACTCATTTCTGAGAAGTGGGCAGTGTTGGGCTCCAGTGCATAGCTTCAGCTGGGGGAGGTGCTCAACACACACACAGGCTCTGGTGGACCCCGGGTGCACTGGGCAGGCAGGGCTCTAGAAGCACCACTGTGCCTGGAGAGGGACCCCTGGCGGCTCAGGGAGGAGGGGCCCAGGGCAAGGAGCCAGGTAGGTGGCAGAGGATGAGAGGCAGTGTGTGTGTAGGTAGCGGGGGCGATGACGCGGCTGCTGGGTTGCTGTTTGAACAATCAGCAGGTGGACCCCAAGGAAAGCCCACCAGGGCAGCCGGCGACACTTCAAGGGCCAAGCCAGAGCTCAACAGGGGCTCTCTAGGGAAGGGAAGGAGGAACCCAACCGACCAGTGAGTGGACAGGAATCATGATGTTCACTACCTCTCTAGAAATAACTGCTTGCCATTTGTCCCCAAACACAAGCGACCATTCTAAAAAGCATTTCTGAAATCTAAGAGTAACTGAGTTGTTTATTTATTTCCCCAATTATAAACCCTGTTGAGGTTTAAGCTATGCTTAAGTGACCAATGCTCCCATTTACGCAGACTGTCCTGGTCGAATTATGACAAGTGTCCTTTCATTCTGAGAAGTTTTAGGGAGGAATCGGAATTACCCTAGGAACACTGGAATCAGGAGGCGACTCTGTTGAACACCACAGTCCCAGGCTGACTCCACTTAAATCTACTGTTTCAAACTCAGCTCCAGATTAAAGGGTCTCCAGCAGGTAAAATGAATACAAAACACCTGTAGCTCCAATAAGGGGTGGCAACTTTTGCTTTGACCTTAGCCTTGAGAGTGGTGAGGGCATCCCCCAGGATATAAGCTGATAAGCGGGTAAATGGCCAAGGACAGCATCTCAGAACCCAAACCCCAGCACGGCTGCAGTCTGGGCTGGCCATGGGCACACATGCTGCCAGCTGCCTAGGCCTTCAGGAATTCCAGACACAAGCAGCTCAGGTCCCGAAGATCACAGTCACTTGGGTCTGCTCAGAGAGCCCAGCCTCGCAGGACTTGGAAATGGCCCCTGACCCAGCGGGCACCACCACGGGGGCCTTTCTCGCGCGGGGCCAGGCCAGGCCAGGCACCTGGTTTTGGCAAAGCCACGAGGGTGGGGCTAGGAGCCGCTGGGTAAAGGGCAGTGGGTTTCTCCAAGTTCTTTTTGTCCTTTTCATTCTTAAAGAACTCCCCACAAAGCCACAGTCTTTCTCCGTGAAGGGTGCAAAGTCTTTACCAACCTGGCCGAAGAGGACGCTGCCACCACTGCAGGCCCTAGAAGGAGCCGCCCCACCTGGCTCCTTGCCGACACTCCCCGGCAGCATCCCCAGCGGCCCCTCTCCACCCAGCCTTCACATGGCCCATAGTGGGTTCAATAGTGGCTCCCCAAAATTCACATCCACCCACCACCTTTGGGAGAGGATCTGTGCAGATGCCATCAAGTTAAGGTGAGAATGTAATGGACTGGGGAGGCCTGAATCCACTGACAGGTGGCCTTATGAAGAGAGGACACAGAGACATGGGGGAAAAGACAGGCAGAGACCGGAGTGACACAGCCACAAGCCAAGGGATGCAAAAGGCCGCTGTGCCGGCCACCACCAGAGGTTGGGGAGAGTCCCGGGACAGATTCTCCCTCAGAGTGCCCAGAAGGAACCAGCCCTGCTGACACCCTGACCATGGACGTCTGGCCTCCAGCACTGTGAGAGGCACATTTCTGACGTGAAGCCACTGGGCTGCTGGTGTTTTATGAGGACAGCACAGCGCTGGGACACTCCCACACAGCCTGTCGCAGACCTGGGATTAGGGACAACCGGGGGCATTTTACAAAGCCTCAAACATACTGACCAACAGGACAGACCAGAACCTTCCAAATACGTTAAGAATCTTACGCTACCGAGCTACTAACATTTTGGATTACACTGCATTTATAAAACAAGGAAACAATGCTCATATGAGAATCAGGTCATTTGGTTTGGGGGGGATCAGGCGAGTCAATATCTATTTCTCCCCCTTGAGCAAATAATCTTCATGCCAACAATAAATAACATTTGCTCCGCTGGGTAGTGCCAGCTTCAGCCATATGAAATTGCTGTTTTGCAGGTCAAAAGGAATTTCATAGAGTTTCTTCAGGTTTCATGAGGAGGATCTCTGTCAAAACACCCGCAACATGGATGAGAAAGATTTAAAGTTCAACAGCCCTGCTTGATGGGCAAAGTGATGCCCCGACCCCGGCTTAGCAGGACAGGCACTGTGATCTGCTTTTCCAGCAGGAATGCTAGATATGGGCAGATCACACCCATAACCTTCACTAGGGCTTTCTTTGAACATGCAGGCACACACACACAGGTACGCACAGGTGCGCGCACGCACACACACACACACACACAAGTATGCACATGCGTGCGCGCGCGCACACACACACAGGTACGCACATGCGCACGCACACACACACACACACACACACACAGACACTCCCCCCAACTCTGGGAGGCGGCCATTGCACGGTGAACGGCAACACTGGAGCCAGGTGCCAGGGACCAATCCTGATTTCTTCATCTACTCTACTGTGACCTGGGGTCAGTTCCTAAACCTCTCTGTGCTATTTCCTCTGGCTAAAGACAGGGCTAGTACCCCAGCCTCATAGGATTAGGAGGATGAGTCACTGGACGTAGCCCCAAGGGCAGAGCTAAGCAGTCATGCACCACGTAACAAGGTTTCAGTCAATGACAGTGGTCCCATGAGATTCTAATACAGTATTTTTCCTCTATTACCTCGTCTATGTTTACATAAACAAATACCATGCATCACAGTTGCCCACAGCATGCAGTACAGTCACATGTTGGACAGGCTGGTAGCTAGGACAACAGGTTACACGGCACAGCCTGGGTGGCTAGCAGGCCATGCCATCAAGGTGCGTGAGAGTGCACTCTACAACGCGCCAAAGACAATGCCATCGCCCCAGGATACATTTCTGAGAACGTATCTCTGTTGTTAAACACTGCCTCACTGTGTTAGCTTGTGTTACATCCACGTGCCCAAACTGACCAAGGATGTTTGACAAGCAGAAAGACAGACCCGACTCTCCACCCCTCCACTCTCCGCATCCCAGCAGCTGGCCCAGCACAACCCATCTCATCAGTGTGGGGTCAGCACAGAGCCAAGGGGCCATAACCCCTCCGGCGAGGCATGAGGGAAGGTGGGCTCTGGATCAGGGGCCGCCACGTACCATGGGCGCCAGAGCCGGCCTGCTTCAGCATGGGCTTGTCCATCTTCTTGGCATAGAAGGCCGCGTACCACACGCGCAGCTCGGTGCCCGGGGGGATGTCTCTGGAGGTGGTGAAGTACACGTCGCTGCCGTGCTGGTAAGCCGTCAGGTTCTGGTGCTCAGCCTCCGCCGCCGGCCGCACCAGCATCATCCAGTTGCAGTCATCCTCATTGGAGGTGTCGAAGCACACGGGGTGCCCGTCCTTCTGGAACACCTGAGGGTGAGTCAGCCCGCGGAGAAGCCAGGAAAATGGCTGATTACCCATCTGCGTGTCAGCGTGTCGGGGGCGGGTGCTGAGGAACCCATCTAGACAGTGCCACCTCAGAGGCCATAAGGGCTCCTGTATGGGATGCTGAGGTGTTTACAATGGTGAGGAGGGTCACAGGTAGACCATGTGGTTTGGATGGGTCAAGTTAGTCACAGGCAAAAGGAGGCAGCAGACACAGCCTATGTGTCATCATACATCACACAGCAGTCTATGTGCCATCTGGATACCTGAGTGTTACTCGCGGCCCAGGTGCGGAACTCAAGTTCAAATCAGGTTCTAGTGGGTCTGGGGATATTGAAGTTCTAGTCCTGGTCCAGGTCGGCTTTGGGCTATCTGAGCTCCACTCCTAGTCCACGTGTCATAGGGACACCTAGGCTCTCCAGATGGCCCAGTGGGAACTGGGACACAGTTCTACTCCCAGCTCCACCACAGGATGCTGGGTTCCTCCGGCTGGCTACCTCCCTGTCTATCAAACAACACCATTGCTTTATGGATTAAATGCAGGCAGGAAGCAGGGAGAAAAACTTACATATTTTGAAGTTCAAATCAACCACACGACTATAGGAGGGTTTTGTTCCTTATTTTCTGATGCCATGATCTGAGCTCTTCCTCCCTGCAGGAAGACAGCTCTCCCCTCTCCTGAGCTTTTCCTAGAGAGGCCTCTCTAAGGACGGAGCCCTTGGAAGTGAGAGGCGAGGGTGGGGGACCACCAGGTACCTAATGACCACCAGTTGCTGAGGAAGGCATACTCCCAGCTGGTGGCACCATCCCTCTGGTGGGCACAGTCCAGCTGAACGCTGGTGCGTGCACTGAGAACAACCCGCTACGAGGCGATGACCTGCAAAATCGCGTAGCTGAAAGACCACCAAAATGGGCACAAAAGGCTTCTTTTATTAAAGGGGCCTCACCCCCAACCGTGCACCCACTGCATACATTGACTGGATGGGTGCTGCAAAGGACAGGCAGGTAAGCCAACGGCCTTTCAGAGGCTGTACTGGGTATTGTTACATATTTCTTCAACTTAAAACAGCCTTTTCTTTCCTTCTTTCCTTCCTTCCTTTCCTTCCTTCCCTCCCTCCCTTCCCTTCCTTCCCTCCCTCCCTTCCCTTCCTTCCCTCCCTGCCCTCCCTTCCTTTCTTCCTTCCTTCCGTCTCTTTTTGTAAACAACTCAAGTGCCTTTCCTTTTTTCCCCTTTTTGCTGCAATCTGCCTTATAAGCTCAGGTTTTCAAAGGGCTTCCAAAAACCCAAGCTTGTCCACTTCATCTGCCTGTCCTAAAACAAGCGGATCCCTTTCAAGGGTCTCTAAGAAAAGTTTGCTAACTAACAACCCATTCCTCATTTGTTTATTTCACAGATATTTCTGAAGCCTGGCTGGCTTGGGGTACTATCGTATCCCTGAGGGCAGACATGGAAACAGCCAAAAACTCGCCTCGCCTGGCCTCATAGGCCTTCCAGAGGGCTCATTTTTTACGTATGCTAAAGCCTGCCTTGCGATATACATACATTTTAGTTTTCTCGAGTTCACGTCAAAGTAGAGAACCACTGTCTTCTCTCAGTCTGATGTGCTTTTTAGAGCTACCAAACTTCGTACTGTTGCCCAAGGTCTCATCACTGCCTAAACAAACACCTTCCCTTTGAAAGGGCTTTGCAAACCACCATACGCTCTGCACAGGTGTGAAAAGAACTGGAGTGATGGACCCCTGCAAGACACTGCCTTGTAAAGCCTGCAACAGCAACGGAGGTCGTTTAAGACAGCTGGAGTCAGCATTTGGCGTTTCTCCTGCGTATGTTTTAAATACACTCTTTAATGTTCTGCAAAACTGAAAATTACAAAATACCAACTTAATATTGATGCTCTCGCAATGTAAAAAGAAACGTTTCCTTGGAAATTAAGCAGACCTACAATGTTTAGAGCTATTTTCAAGGAATTGACAAATCATGGAAACTCGGTGGTTCACTCCCCATTCCCACATAGGAACGCCAGAAAAATACCCGGTTCCTGAGCTCCTGTTTGGCAACAGCCTTTACCTTCAGGGGAAACGCGGACTCCTTTTCCCATTTGGCGACCCTCCTGGACTCAAAGGGACCGAACTGTGTCCGCTTGACGAGCTGAGTGATGGCAAACACTCCCTCGGCTCCGTCTTCCAGTCGTCTGATCTCCAAGTTGGGAGGAAGGGATGACCTGGAAATGGAATAAAACAAGACTCAAAAGAGAGCACGCACACCTGGGGACCGACTCGTTAAGATAACCTAAAAGCTCGCCCTCACTGACCGCCAGGGGTCTTCTGAAATAAAATTCTCCAGGTGATAAAATAGAAGCCTCCTGGTGGCTCACACCTGTAATCCCAGCACGCACTTTGGAAGGCCGAGGTGGGAAGACTGAATGAGCCCAGGAGTTTGAGACCAGCCTGGGCAACATGGTGAAACGCTGTCTCTACAAAAAATACAAAAAATTAGCTGGGCATGGTGGCGTGTGCCTGTAGTCCCAGCTACTTAGGAGGCTAAGGCAGGATGGCTTGAGCCCGGGAGTTCAAGACTGCAGTGAGCCGAGATTGTGCCACTGCACTGTAGCTTGGGTGACAGCACAGGACCCTGTCTCAAAGAAAAAGAAAACAGAAGCCTTCCTAATAGGTGCTGAATGAAGACTGAGGCTGAGGTTGTGATGATGCCCTCGGGCTGTGGCAATCTAGCCATAATCTTGTGGCCTTAGCTACACGAGGCCAACCACAAGGCCCTCCTGAGATTCACCCAGAGCACACCATGGCAGGGCTGTTTACTGGAGGATGGATTTCACTCCCCGTGGGAAAGACAGTGACAACAGGTGCATCTCTGGTGGGGCTGCTATGGGACAGGAAAGGGTCAGACTGGCGTGGGGACCAGCGATGGAGGGGGGATCACAGGGAACTTGCTGCTGAGGAGCCGTAGGAACAGCACCCCGAGAGAGACGCAAGGGCCATGGGTGTCCCAAAGAGAAAGGTTTCCAGCCAAGTGGAGCAGGCCAGTTTTACTGAGGATGTGATCTCTTTAACTGAAGTAGAAGAATGTCAAGGACAGGGTGTGGGGAGGAAGGCATAGGAGCCAGGACGAGCCCATGACACGTCCAGAACAGAGGCGGACATGGGGTATCCAGCACACAGGCCCCTCAGACAGAGGCAGACGTGCGGTCCCCAGAGCATAGACTCCTCCGACAGAAGTGGACATGGGGTCCCCAGAACACAAGTCCCTCCGACAGAGGCGGACATGGTGTCCCCAGAGCACAGACCTCTCAGGGCGGGCAGGAGGCCGCTGAGACGAGGGGCCAGCCCAGAGGGTCCAACTGCAGGACCAAGGGTTTCAGCTGAATTTTCATGGGCAACAGGCAGCCCCTGAGGGTTCTGGGGAAGAGGGGGGTTGATGGGAAGAGGGGGGTTGATCCGCTCTCTACTTTAGGCTGAAACATTAATCTCTTTGTTTTGAATCACACCAAGAAGAAAACAAATGAACGGTGTTGTGAGGCAGTGGGGAGGCTCCTGGAAACAGTCCTGGAAAGACGGTGACCATCTGTGCAGCAGCAGCACATGCCAGGTACCGTCACCCACAACACCACAGCCACCCCACAGGAACCGCCATCCTCTTCCCTTTACAGAGGCCACCGAGGTCTGGAGAGGAGTGCCTTGCCCAAGCTCACCTGCCCGGGGCCACCAGGTGGCACAGCCTTCCCCAAGTGAGGGTGGAACGGCAGGGCAGCTACTGCCCACTGAGCTGCCTCACCAGGCCTGCAGGGGCTGCCTCCGGAAGCTGCTGTGGGTCAGCCCCGTCCTGTCCTCATGACCCCCATCCCCTGCCCCGCCTGCGTGTGCATGTGTCCGCTGGCAGGCCAAGACCTGGAATGCAGAGAAGCCAACGAGCAGACCTCCAGCTTGGCCACTGGTGTTCAGCACATCAACCACCTTGGCCAGTCCATTCTTCTGCAGCCTCCACAATGTGTCAGGAACAGCTGGGCTCCAGCTAAGAACCCTGGAGTGGATCAAAGAAACTCACTCTGGAGCTTCGAAGTGCGTGTTTTGGCGCATCCCGGCAGCAAGGCTGCTCAGCTCACAGAGGGAAGGGAATCGCTGGCACTCACTCAGAGTGCCTCTGTTCTCCCTCGGGCTCCTTCCTCCCCGTCTGCAGACACGAAGACTGCTAGGCTCCTGCCACAGCTGGCATATGGACAGGCCCGGGACCGTGAAAGCAGCTCACGGCGGTCACTCACCTTGCCCTGCTTAACACAAAGGAGTCTTTGACCATGACCACTGGGCCTAGCTCGGGACATTCGGAGTCGTGGTACTGGCTGCAGTCTTCACACCCTGCAAGCAGACATCCGAGCATTAGAGCACCCAGGGAAGGAGACACGCAAAGAACACAAACCTGGGAAATGGGGACCCTGGCCCCATGAGGGTGACCCAGAGTCATGAGACACATGCATCTGACACTACAAAGACAAGCAAGGGAGGGTGCATCGGATGGCACGAGGCCTGTGTCCCGAAGGCCTCTGTCAGTGCTCACGCACACATGAGGAGTGCAAAGGCAGGACACGCCTCCAGGGAAAGCGCCAGCTCCGCCACACACCTGAAATCAAGCACGGTCACCTCCACGGTGACGAAGACCAAGACCCTCCCCAAAGAATGAGCATAAATGAAAATGGCCAATGTTAGCGGGTTCATGATAACTCTAACACACTTCCCTCCTGCCTAGTCCTGGATTACTTTTCTGGACCAAGTGCTACCCGCTGCAAAGTGCCCTCGGCCAGGAGTTCTGAGAAAGGTGATCCTATTAAAACCACACCCCTGTAAGTGCACTGCTTAGGAAATAAATGGTTCGTGGGGAAAATTTAAATACACAACTTTTCTATATTATAAAAACCAAATGTGGACATGGCTTTGCCTAGACAGCAAACGCCATGCCCATCTGTGTTCTATGACGTAGGGCTGGTCTCAGACAGGTCCCCGGGCCACTTACAGATGAACATGATCTCTTCGCTCCCATCTTCAGCCATCTCTGACACCTGTCAGGATACAAGAGAGCCTCATTACCAAATACCAAAATACTCTTACCAAAATACTTTTTTTTTTTTTTTTTTGAGATTGAGCTCCCTCTGTTGCCCAGGCTGGAGTACAGTGGCACAATCTTGGCTCACTGCAACCTCTGCCTCCCAGGTCCAAGTGATTGTCCTGCCTCAGCCTCCTGAGTAGCTGGGACTACAAGTATGAGTCTCGGCTAATTTTTGTATTTTTAGTAGAGACAGGGTTTCACCATGTTGGCCAGGCTGTTCTCAATCTCTTGACCTTGTGATCCACCTGCCTCGGCCTCCCAAAGTGCTGGGATTACAGGTGTGAACCACTGCGCCTGGCCTCTTAACAAAATAATGTTTAAAGACAATTCCTACTAAGGGCCTCCTCCAGCCAGTATAGGGACATTACGTGGTGCTCTAAAGAGAACACACAGTGGGGTCTCCTCTTATTGTGGGATGGGGCTGGGGTCCCTGAAACACCTTCTCACCTCAAATAATGTTATTTTTAATAAAAGCAATGGATTTGAACAGTCTCGTGAACTCAGATTTTCATCTTTTCATATTAGCCATAAATTACCATTTTTAAAACAAATATATCACCTTTTTGTGGTGACAGGGTCTTGCTCTGTCACCCAGGCAGGAGTGTAGTGGCGAGATCACAGCTCACTGCAGCCTCTACCTGCTGGGCTCAAGCAATCCTCCTACCTCAGCCTCCCAAAGTGCTGGGATTATGGCACGAGTCATCGTGCCCACCTATATCACCATTTTTAAAAAGCCAGTTGTCACTTTTGTTCCCCTCACTCACTGGGCCGTGAATTCCTCAAGGTCGGGTATGTCTAATTCAACGTTTTTTCTACAGTTCCTAACCTATGGCTGGTGCCCCATAAACACTCGTTTCTCTGGGGACCAAATAAATGCATGATGTTGTGGAGGACTCTCGTGCTCCCACATAAGCTGTTATCAGATCCAATAATTCTATTCCCTATCCATCCTTGAGGTTCACCTCCATAAACACTTGCATAGTGGGTAGATGAGCACAAACTGACACCCACACACACATATATTTACAGGGTGATCTAGACATTGTTCACTCCTGGGCTGTAAAATGGAAATAAAAACACCCACCTCATGCAATTTGGGAGGAGCATAAAGCGAGATACACACAGTATGTGCTACCGAATAATCATTCCTCCTCTGCCCACCCCCATTCCCAACTGTGCCCATTGGCACGTCCTTCCTGCATCCTGCTTCTCTGATGCCCGCTGCTGGTGGTTTAGGAAAGCGTGCGTATGCTGGCACTTTTTGAATGCTGATTCCACATGCCCTCCACCCCACTCATCCCCAGCAGCTTGAAGGGTGAAAAGCAGACCATGCAAAACCCATATGGAAACACAGTCACTGAACATGCGTGTTTGAGAGCAGTGTAGGGTTGAAAACTTCAAGTTAGGAGAGTGAATTAGCTACGAGGAAGTGAGGCAGAGGAGAGAGAGTTCCAATTTGCCCTTAAAATGCCAGAAATAACCAGGGGGGTGAAATTTTCTCCCAGAACAGCACTGTATCTTCTTTTCCTGGGAACACGCATTCATGTTCAAAGGTATCTCACGCGGCTCCAGCAAGTCTGACTCAGTTTCACAGCCGCATTCGGCCTCGCCTGCCCCAGTTCCTGGGCACCTCGGCGCAAATAGGGACCAGTCTGGGATGGGGGCTCAGCTGGGCAGTGAACAGGAGATGAACAGGGGCAAAGGGCAGAAGAAACCCAGGCTGGGGTGGGTAGGGGCATGCTTTCATGAGTTGCTGCTATGCTGCTGGAGGTGTAGGACCTGTGTGCCCCCTGCAGGAACTCACGCCACTCACGGTCAGAAGCTTGGGCAATGGGAACGATAGGCCTTAAGAGGGCTCCCCACACTGTGGTTAGATCACCGCAGAATACAGAGTCCCAACAAAGGTATTGGAATCAGAGTGGGAGGATGGCGGGAAGTCGTCCTGGCCTTGCTTACTTGGGAACCTGCACAAATCCCCTGAGGCCTGGCGTGGCCGCCTCTCCCCGGGGCAGACCTTGCCTCTGGCCTCCACCTCTCACAGACTGCCCACCCCCCAGGTGCCCCCAAAGAAGAGCTCCTCTGAGCGGAGCTGCTGGGAAAGGAAACCCAGAAGGAGGCGAGGGAAGCAGGAGAGCAGGGTTTTAGCCTCCTGTGCTACACTCTGATTCTATGTAAATGTCTTGAGTCCTGGCAGTAAGGGTCCTGATTAGCAGCATCTGGTCCCCATCACATGGCCTCTCTAAAACGGCTCCTCTGGGCCCAGGATCAGAGACCACAGCCACCCTGGGCTGCAGATCAGGCCTGAGTAATGGAGCATCTTCAAAGTCTTTGCTGTCTTAGCAAAAATCTCTTTAACACTCAGAAAGTGCCTTTGTAGAAGGGGAAGTGTGGTCTCCAGACCGCTAAGGCACACAAGACATCCCAGAACAAGGCACACAGGAAGTACTGTTTCAGGGAAAAGGAGAGGAAAAAAGAACTAGAAGTTTGAGATCCCAGGCAAGCGCGTGGCTCACGTCTGTAATCCCAGCACTCTGAGAGACGAAGATGGGCGGATCACCTCAGGTCAGGAGTTTGAGACCAGCCTGGCCAACATGGTGAACCCCATTTCTACTAAAAATACAAAAACTAGGCTGGGCGTGGTGGCTCATGCCTGTAATCCCAGCACTTTGGGAGGCCAAGGCAGGCGCATCACAAGGTCAGGAGATCGAGACCATCCTGGCCAACATGGGGAAACCCCGTCTCCACTTAAAAAGAAAAAAATTAGCCAGGTGTGGTGGTGGACGCCTGTAGTCCCAGCTACTCAGGAAGCTGAGGCAGGAGAATGGCGTGAATCCGGGAGGTGGAGTTTGCAGTGAGCTGAGATTGCGCCACTGCACTCCAGCCTGGGTGACAGAGCAAGACTCCATCTCAAAAAAAAAAAAAAGAAAAGAAAAGAAACTAGTCAGGCACAGAGGTGCATGCCTGTAATCCCAGCTACTCGGGAGGCTGAGGCAGGAGAATCGCTTGAACCCAGGAGGCGGAAGTTGTGGTGGGCCAAGATCGCATGCCTCTGCACTCCAGCCTGGGTGACCGAGTGAGACTCTGTCTCAAAAAAAAAAAAAAGGCCAGAAGCAGTGGCTCACGCCTGTAATCCCAGCACTTTGGGAGGCCAAGGTGAGTGGATCACAAGGTCAGGAGATCGAGACCATCCTGGCTAACATGGTGAAACCCCATCTCTACTAAAAAAATACAAAAAAAATTAGCCAGGCGTGGTGGCGGGCGCCTGTAGTCCCAGCTACTTGGGAGGCTGAGGCAGGAGAATGGCATGAATCCGGGAGGCGGAGCTTGCAGTGAGTCGAGATCGTGCCACTGCACTCCAGCCAGGGCGACACAGCAAGACTCTCAAAAAAAAAAAAAAAAGTTCAAGATCCCCCTATCTCAACAAACAATCCTGGGAAGACTTACCTTACATCAGTGATTTCAAAATGTGGTCTCTGAACCAGGAACCAGCACTGCCAGCATTGCTTGGGAACGTCTCAGAAATGCACATCCTTGCCTCCCACCCCCAGACCTGCTGAATCAGACTTGGCAGAAGGCCCTGCATTCTGCTTGCAAAGCCCTCCAGGTGGTTCGGATGCAGCTCAAGTCTGAGAACCACCGCTTTGCCTGAAAATCTCTTCAAAATTTCTATGACTACTACTACAAAAACTAACTAAACATGACCGCCATCCCAAGAAGACCACAGTAATAATATCAGGAAACCAGGAAACCACACTTATCACAAATGTCAATGAAGCTCAGACCAGGACCATCTGCATCTAACCTGGTGGTAAATGGGAAATGAGGGGTGACTTCAGACAAATGTTCCTTATACGGAACGCTCAGTGAAGAAAACTGTTAAAAACAACTTTGAAAAAGAAGCCTAAAGTGACAGACTCAGTGTCCCTGACTTCAAACTTCATTATCAAGCTACCGTCAAAAAACTCTGATACCGGTGAGAAGGTGAACAGAGATCAATGGAACAAGACAGACAACCCAGAAACAGACCTAAACAAACACTCCCAAAGCTTTTTTTTTTTTGAGACGGAGTCTTGCTCTGTCGCCCAGGCTGGAGTGCAGTGGCGCGATCTCAGCTCACTGCAACTTCCGCCTCCCCGTTCAAGCGATTCTCTTGCCTCAGCCTCCCGAGTCGCTGGGATTACAGGCATGTGCTACCACGCCCAGCTAACTGTTATATTTTTAGTAGCGACAGGGTTTCACCATGTTGGTCAGGAGGGCCTCAATCTCTTGACCTCGTGATCTGCCCACCTCAGCCTCCCAAAGTGCTGGGATTACAGGTGTGAGCCACCGTGCCCGGCCTGCATTTTTTTTACAAAGACAAAAGTGGATTGGATTTTAAAGTCCAACTGAGGAAGGGCAACCATTTCAGCAGATGGTGCTGGAACAACTGGGCATCCACAGAGAAAAAAATGAACTATAACCTCATATCTTATTAGAAAATTAACTCAAAATGGATCAGTCTTAAAACATAAAATATTAAATAATAGAACTTAGAAAAACAGAGAAAATCTTTGGGCTCTAGAGCAAGCCACAGTTTTTAGATTTGTCACCAAAAACACAATCTATAAAAGGAAAACCATTTGCATCTTCATTCAGACGGCAACAGTCAACCCAAAAACCACCACGTCAAAAGTAAACATCTGGACTCTCCTGACAGTCTCTCTGCCCCCACCTCCTGCATCTTAGGTCGCGGTCGTCAGAGAGACCTGGAACTGCTGTGACCTCTCCGGCCTCCCTCTCACACCTGCCCATCACACCAACTCCTACAGCCCCCATTACTACCTCCCTTTACTACCTCCCTTAGCCACACCCCACTTTCTCCCACCTGTAAGGCTGCAAGGGTCTCCAGATAACTCTTCCTCCTCTGCCTGGGCCGCCAACCCATTTTCCACACTGCAGAGCGGTTCTTCTAGA